TCTAAGTTTTATTCTAGCCGACTTCTACTAATCTCAAACATAGCATATTTTGTTTCCTGAAGTTTGTGATGCATTTTATTGCAGATTTTACGTTTTTTGGGAGTACCAAGCCAAGATACAACGTCTCACAAAATGGGGATCGTGAGGCTGCAACATAGCAAAACCAATTTGCTTGAGGCTGACAGATAATATGTAGAAAAATAAAACATAAAAACAGCTGCATTTGTATCATATTCTAGGTGAGGCTGACTACTATTTGAACGTCCCTCGTAGTTATACCCGTTAGAACACCCACCCACCTCTCCGATTCTACATGCATGCAAGTGTGTTAGATATACCCGTTAGAAACCCGCCCCTACCCCACCCCCACTTTATATGTATGCATATCAAAACCTCAAAAGATATTTGCGAAAAGACATGATACAGAGGACAGTTGATATCGATTATATATCAGGACGAATATCATTTTCGTCATTTAGCTAAGATTTGTCAGTTCTTTCTTGGGTTATCGCGCTAACAATCTTTATATTGGCAAAACCCTCAGATTTTTGCTGTGACCTTGAAAATTATCTCAAGGTTCCATTTCACTTGTGTCGGTGAATCTCGCCAATATACCTTGGTACCAAATTTGAACAAAATCCATCATTTCTTTCTTGAGTTATCGCCCTAACAAGCTTATTTGATGTATGAAATGCAACGAAAAACAAACACCCGCGTATTTACGAGTGATTAAAACTGATATTACAATTTACGTAAACATTTATTACATTTTACCGCAACAAAAATTATTACAATTTACGTCAATTTTTATTACAATTTGCGTATTACAATTTACGTCAATTTTTATTACAATTTACGTTTTTATTACAATTTACGTCAAGTTTATTACAATTTGCTGCAAGTATTACAATTTGCGTTTTTATTATTTGTCATCTTTCTTTTTCAATAACGAAACGGGCTGTAGACAGGGCGATCCATTATCTTTCCATCTTGAAATACTTTGGATTGTAGGAAGTACCAAAGACATTAGAGCGATGAAACTGAAGAATGTAAATTAGGACAGTATTTAGATGACGCACAACCTTTTTCGAATGTCACAGAAGACAATCTTCTAAAGAGCCTCAGTTGACACTCTAGCCACTTTTCATAAATAACTAAAGATGAACTTTGATCAAACAAAAGATAGTTAGACTGGTTTCACGTTATGATCAATACAAAACTGTGTCAAGATTTCCACACCAACAGGCATTCAAAAGATAATGAGAAAAAACCATATCTGAAAGACCTTTGGATAATGGATACCTGGATAAGACTACAGACTACTGCCCCCTTCTTGTTTGCTTAGCTAGTTCAGATCCTAACTCTTCAGGATCTTTTTCAGATCTTTTCTTTTCCATGTTTTTTGGCATGCTTCAAAATTCCGTTCGTAACAGTATCTTAACTGTTATATGTTTCTCATTACCGTCCCGAAATATGCGCATCATATTTATGATACTTCCCTAGAGACGTCACTTCCTTAAGTGGCATTTAGAAGCTGGTATGGTGGTATAAGGGGTCGGGTCAGCGGGAACCAGGGGATGATGACCACAAAATATGTCTCTGGTGAAGAGGAACATTTTTATGGATAGACAACATTTTAATTGCAATAGATGCGACGTTCGGTGTAGATCCTAACACCATAATTTGCTTGTTAACCGTGTTAGGATCTTCCCCGAAACGTCGCACAAAGAAGTTGTCCTCTTGTCCAGAGACATATTTTGTGGTCATCATCCCCTGATTCCTGCTGACCCGACCCCTTATAATAAGAGGCCGATCCCTAATTTCAGTATATCCTATACACCTTATTGTATATTCTATCTAATGCCCAAAGATATGCACTTTATTTAAATTTAGTCTGATTTTTGATGTTGTGTTTAGGCTGTTTGAAGATAGTTGATTGTTCATACCTGAAACGAGTTTTGATATGTGGTGTTTAGGATGAACACACGTTCCTAAACATCCACTTTTGTGCTTACATTCTAAACGCACTGTTCTACAGGTGGGAGGAAGGGGTTGGGTAAGGAACAGAGGTAAGGGGTGTAGTACCTACAGGTGGCAGAGACGTTGAGAGGGGTACGGTTACGTTGATGGGGAGTCAGATCCCACTAGCAGTCGAGAGAAGGGGTCGACTCTCAGGCGCCTGTCCTTCATTACAAGCTTAATGAGGAGATATGCGTCGTAGCGAATGAGATAATCTCCTGAGTGAGGTGTGATCACAGATTGGCCGACTGCTTTTTTCTTAGAAGTATTGCCTGCCGATTGCCTCGGGGCCAGAAGGGGCAAGGCGTTAATTGAACAAACAGTTCCCAATTTAGCAGTCTAAATTAACTTCAAGAGGAACAGAGCTGATGCACCAGCCTGATATAGAAATAATATGACTGTTATTGTTTCCACAGAAGGTATGTGTATAGTGTAATGAGGATGATGTAGGAGCACGTGACTCGGGGCGGCGGATCTGAAGCACAACTCATGCCGTCCCTTTTGTATGTCTTAATATGAACTTGAGGGTAAATTGGTCTATGTACTTTCAACATTAATGATAGTCATCACATCCTAAAGACAAGGGAGTAAGCGGGAATTGTTTTTTTTCCTTCTATTCTCAGTCGGACAGTTGGGTTTATTCCCAGATTCTATGGCAAAGCTCGGTTTATGCTCAGGCAACGTGGCAAATTTCGGTTTCAGCTCTGAGATTGTGGTAAAAATTGAATTTCATTTTATTCTTGGGGCAACGTTCAGTTTATACTACGTCATTGTGGAAACGTTTGGTTTATACTCAACCATTAAGGTAAAGCCCAGACATGGTGGCAAAGTTCGGTTCATCACTGGGCAAAAAAGGTTTATGCTCAGACATTGTGGCAAAGCTCGGTTTATACTCTGACACTGCGACAATGCCTTTCCGTTGTTATGACAACAATACATCATATACAACAGATGGGATTATACTGTATTCAGAAACCCAATTATGTAAATTATATAATTAAAACTCAACTTAAAGAATGTACCGTCATTTCACCACACCAAATGTGTGAATCAGTCAGAGCCTGTTTAGACTGAGTGGTCTCACTGCGACGACAAGACTTCGTTGATGTGACCCTGCTATTGCGTTATGAAAACGACATGGATTCAATCAAGAACTATATCGGAACAAATTATGATTAATAATAATTAAAACATCCTCTTTACATCGACGAAGCTTCCAGGGTGGGTTAGTTGGGCGGTGGGTGGGGTGGCTCGGGTTCGATACCTCACATGAGTACAATGTGTTAAGCCAATGTTTGGTGTCTCCTGCCGTGATATTGCTGGAATAATCCTATAAGCGGCGTAAAACCGTACTCACTCATCTGTTCTGTCACGGGGGGCGGTGGGGTAGCCTAGTGGTTAAAGCGTTGGCTCGTCACGCCGAAGACCCGGGTTCGAATCCCCACATGGGTAGAATATGTGAAGCCCATTTCTGGTGTCCCCCGCCGTGATGTTGCTGGAATATTGCTAAAAGCGGCGTAAAACCAAACTCAGTCAGTCAATCAGTCAGTTCTGTCACGGCGTGTCACTTATTGCGGGAGGAACGCCCGAAGTGATGCAAGTCTCAGACGTTTACCACTACTGTGAAATTACACGAGGGTAAAGGCTAACAGACCCAGAAGCATAATCGGGTTGAAGCGGGATCCCAACCCGCAATCATACTTTGACAAATTTTGGCGTGCACAAGTTACGGAACTCTAACTCTGGGAATTGGGGCGCCACAGAAGATTTGGCCACCCATGACCATGCGACTTCCTGAAGGATCAGCAATGTCCAAAATAGGACGCTAATGACACCAGGGGGCACAACACACAAACAACATTCGGATTCCATGGCCATATCGATAAACTTATCACACGTGTTATATAAAAGCTGAAACATATGTGTCTGTCTGTCTGTCTGTCTCTCTCTCTTTATGGGAAGAATGGATATATGTCTGGGTAATTTTGTGTATAGAGAAACGGGTTTAACGCAGAGTGGGATAAGAAATGAATTTACATACCTGCTCCCCTAACATCTTTGAAATCTTGTAAACTTGGGCCGAGAAAAGCAAGTGTATGGATATTCCAAGATAAAGTGTCTAAGATACCTTTCAGCACTTGTGAATTATGAGACTGTTTATCTTGAAAAGTTTCAACTCAAATTATTTTGTAAACATAAAATACGTTGAATCAAATGAGAGGTATGGTCTATTTTGACCCTAGTTTACATGTACATGTAATTTACGTCTTTGGTGCAACGTATTGTGCAGTGTATATTTTAAATTTAATAAACATGTAGTGTAGTATATAGTGTTTAACATAATATGGCAGTGTGTAATATTCAAATCTGCAATGCATAATTCATTAAATACAATGTCTAGCGTTATAAAGTGTAGCTATTATAGTCAGTTTAATCGAGGCTTCATGTCACTGAGATTTATGACATATCAGAGAACAATCTTAGGATTGATCGGAGAGCGCGCTTTCAACACCTGCTCTAGAATCCCGCCATTTTCAGAGTACCTTTCATTTTCTATTCATTGCTAAAGCCATCTCCTACAACACCCGCTCCCCCATCCCCTATTTTCTCCAGGCTCCATCTTTCCCTGTCCCTCCCTCAACACTGCTGAGGCTGCGCTATCTCCCATTTCGCGATACGCTCTAGTGATTCTCATTCATGGCTAAGCCAATCCAAGAAGCGCCCATGTTAAAGTTCACAGATACAATTTCCTTTCTTGTCAATAAATTTTGGTGCTAACATTTTCAGATGAATGAAGTCGTGTATAGGGGATGACCCGCGGATGACGAGCCGGTAGTGTTGTGAAAAGCTCGCACGCTCCACCCTACAATTGTTTTCTGCCCGGGGCAACCGAGTCTTTGTGCTCCGTGCGCTGTGCAGCTGCGACTCTGCTCGGCGCTGATTGGTTGATCACTCTGACAACTAGCTAACCGTGACCCGTCTTCCCTTCAGCGGGAGAGATTAGGTTACAACGGCAGATGTCTTTGCAGAATTCATACCAAAACACCTTCTTGGAAAACTCACAGGTATACGACGACAGAAGGGTTTTGGAGTCTTTCTTGAGCTTTCTCTGACAGTACATGTATTTTATCCTGCTAGTGCGCTAAAGTGTTGTCTTGAAGAAGGGAGCGCTGTCAGTTTAGCAGACGATATCCGGGGCGAAGCAGACGACACGGTTCAACTTTACAGTGAGGCAAAAATTGGATACTGATGCACAGTGAGATCTTCTAGTCAACGATGTTTACAACAGATAGGATGTCCCCGTGTGTTCGAATGCTGCTGTTACTTGCGTCACTCACTACAGCGATGTCTCAAGGTAAATATCAGTATATTCACAGTTCTGAACAATGTACATTATTAATTCACGTTCTCGTGTAAATGTTAAATGTCACTTCATGGACTTTAGACGTGTAACCTGACGACGATGCTGCTGCTGCTGCTGCTGAAAGCAGCATCCACTCTTACACGCCATCTGACGAAAATAAGCGACACATGTACATACGGCTTATAAAACGCACGTGTTAGTATACTTATCCAGTTCCACACGTGCACACTGACAAAGTGTGTTGTAGCCTGTGATTTCTGAAACTACATAACGTTGACCTTACTACCTGCCTGATATGATGCCAGTCACCAAATAATATATAGTCAACAAGGGCTTTATCTAGAGGTTTAAACTAAATGCCTTTGGAAGGCGAATTGGTTACAAGGACATGTAGTTAGTTTAAAGAAGATTTTTAAAATTTGCATTTTATGCAGTGATATATAACATGTGAAACATCTTCATCATTTTAGGTCGAGCTATCATTAAGGTACAGGTTACCTGTATACAGCCATAAAATTAGTTATTAGATATATAACATTATTTCCGAAATGTTTAATCCCAATTTAGAATTTTTTACTGATATTTGCTGCAGACTTTGGGCCTAAAATCGGCCTCGTCCACGTGTAAATACATGTTTCTATAGGGCCTACCGTGGTTTGTATATGTAGATATCGCCTCCAGTAGGGGATCCCAGCTGTCCAATATGACCTCACCGACCTCAGTGAGTTGGTCTTTGTGTCAGAGGTGGACATCATGCGTGACCACGAGACAACATTTTATTTGAACTGTTTTATTTATGTTTAACATGACCTATCTTAAGAGTAGAATTAGTTGTCATGACACTTTTACTTGCCTCCGGCTTGTAAACCAGTAGTCGTGTCTAACAATACTGTTCCTATATATATAATGTGTGTAAGAAAGCGTATCCATTACAAACGCTACGACAGTTTTCTTCAGATACCGATTGTAACTACGTATAAAAAACTATTTTGATAACTAAATTTGCGTACCCTAAGTATATTAGTGGCCTACGTATATCCACAATATACACATTTCACCCTAGTGTAATACATGCACAGGTCGTACACATATTTCCGTAACATCACTGCACCTGTCCATGTTATCGCGAACACCGGATACGGAGTAAGTTACGTACGTACACCCGTAACAGAATACGTATTGTCACATTTCGTGCTGCATAACACCTGATCAGCGTACATACATAACAGTACGTACATCCGTATGATACGACAGTCGGGTCTACGATAACGCACACCATGCCATTGAATATGTCGTTCATATACGTTGACATAGCCCACGCCTGGGATATACATGCCGACATGGGTCTACCTTCCTGTATTATGACCCGATGCTCCACACGTGGTGACAGATCACACACAGGCATGACGTAAAGGGCGACGAGTTCCCATGTTAGACGACTGTGAGAACAGCACAGCGGAGGAGGCAAGGGCAGGATATGGCAACCCTTAGGCATGGCCACACAGGGGAACGGCTGTACAAACAACTCAAGCAAAATTGCAAAAATACTACTGAAGGATCAAACCATATATTAACAACACTGAGTTATTGCACGCTGTCGTCGACCAAAGATTGCCGTGTAAATATGTAATGTATCCACTATCCCATCAATAATCATATATATTTATGTATACTATCTATATCCGATATGGTTGCCTTTGCATGAACGTCATGTCAAATAAGTGACCGTTGAGGGAATGAAGCGGTGCCCGGGTCCTTTAGGTCGTATGGTATTTGATTTTTTATGGTATTTGAACGTTTTACGCAAGGCCATGCCTAGAAACCTTGGATTTCAAAGCAGAATTTAGAACACAACAAATATTCTGCGTAGCGGAACACAGAACAAAAGTGTGGAGAGAAAGCTTGAGTATCGAACGTACAGATGTATATCTATGACATTTATAATTAATAAGCGGCGTAAGGACTCGACCTTTTGTCTGACACACATCCTCGGGGCTGGTTATCCTGTATCTGACGTACCATCATCACCCCGGGGGTCAGACTCTCACCCCCGGGGACAACAAACTGATCTGATGTAACACGGTGTCGCCTGTTAGGGATCAAGAGATTAGCTCATTGGCATAGTTTTGTCGCCGGTCTTACTAACCAGGTTAACTCGACAGATACAATCTGCTTGGGGCGTAGGGATAGCCTAGCAGTGAAAGTCCTCCCGCGCCACGCTTAAGGTGCTGGTTCTATTCCCGGAATGGTTACAATGTCATACCGACGCATGACATGGTCGGCGACATCCTCATGGTAGTATTGACATAGCACTTGTCTCAATGGCAACTAACAGCATGGACGGGTACCCATCATTCACAGTGACCTAGTCAGCTGATACCTAGGACGGACACAATATGTCTTTCACAACGACAAGGGTACGTCGTGTCCGACGATTTATTCAAAGACATCAAGTTATATCACATCTGCTATACCACAGACAGACCCAATGTGTCATTCGCAGTGACTTAGGAACGCAATGTCTGGTGGTATCAGTTGAAATATATGCCAAAACATTTCATCCGCATATGTAAGCTTCAAATACAGTGGTATAACTCCGCCTAATGTACTTATTTGATTATGTATGTACATCCAATAAGCCCAAACACTGAAGTTTTCCCCTGTATTTAGATAGCCAGACTGTACCCTCTCTTGTGTGTTCTGAAGAACCTGAACAGCATTACTGGTTCATGGCAAACCACATAACGGTCCTTCGTCTACTCTGACAGAGTAATGATGCGCATCCTGTATGGTTTCATAAAGCCTAAATATAGCCCGTCTCCCCATGATGTACGCCCCTTCCAACAAGCCGTCTCCAGATATCAGGCATCAGGGGATAACCCCCCTCTCCACACCCATCCCTCAGGATCATCTTGGAGCTGCCACACTTCCTTTAATTACAGGAAGCCGAAACTTGCCCCTGCCTAGTCTGTCTCACAGTCCCTAAACCACATTATTTTCCTTTCCGCTTAGCCGTTTCTGCAGTGCAAGAACCCTTGAACCGAAGACAGGAGTTTCCTGTGAATTTCCCGACTCAGCGGATCTAATTTCAATTTGACACGAAGTTGTTTGGAATATGTGTATATATTTTCAGACACAGAGAAATAGTATGGCCTCTACTAGGTTGCTACCGACTACCTAGACTAAGGCTTAGTCTCTGAATATATATAATTTTGATAGTAACAAACAACCCATTTATATTGAAAAGGAGCCCTAGGGATACCAGAGATTCAGAACCTGAACCTGAGGAAATCTAGACTTGCTTTATTCAGGGCTTTAGCACTGCAGAGAGGGCTTGGCAGTAGGGAAATTAATGTGGTTCAGGGACTGTGAGACAGACTACCGACTACCCAGTGTGTCCCGCAGGAAGGCAGCACGGGTGTTGTTTCCATCCCAAATGTACAAACAATAGTCGAGCACTGAGGAAACGCGATGAGACCAGGTGGTTCTCTTGTTGCATCCTATAACACTGGGCTGTGGGGCACGCCATCTGGCTGGACGATTGACCCTCTGGTTCCGGTGGAAAGACCGAGGAGGTTGAACGTGGATTAGGGACCTTATCGCCAGTTATAGCCTGATGCGGTCTATTGCCTCCCCCTCAACACACGGCGGTGTTTCTAACATGTTTTCAATTACTGTCTGTTTACGCTCCCACCCCCATGACCCGACCCTCTCATTAATTTCCTCACCCCCAGGGTCACGTGAAGATGCTGACCACCCTGTCACACGTTTTCGCACAGAAACGTGCTTTGTCCAAATATCTAAGAAGTTCACTTCAATGACTGATCAGTGTTTGGTTGAGGAAAAACACAGAATGTACTGGTGTGTATAGAAATAAAACATGCAAGGATCCTTTTTCACAAATCGATCATAGCTCCCAAGGTGCTCGTAGACCCATGTTAAAGTATGCGAGATGGCTTTGTTAATCGGGAATGAGCAGTGTATGCGTTAGACTAGCGCTTAGTCCCTGAATATATATAATTTTGATAGTCACAAATATACCCATTTAAATTGAAATGGAATCCCAGTGAGTTGGAAGATCTCTGAACCTGGGGAAATCTAGACTTGCTTCATTTCGGGCTTTAGCGTTGCAGGGAGGGCTAGGCGGTAGGGAAAATAATGTGGCTCGGGGATTGTGAGACAGACTAGCTTTAGCATTGCAGGGAGGACTAGGTAGTAGGGGAAATAATGTGGTTCAGGGACTGTGAGACAGACTATGTACGTGTGTAAGGTAGTGAAGTATCGACGACGTGGCATCCCGCAATACGGGAAATTCATGTGCACATTTGATAGCTAATGCCCAGTATGTGTTACAAGAAGTGACAATTTAAGATCGGATGGTGTGACTTGACATAGTATGTCATGGATCTTCGCTCACGCTATCAACCACTGACATTTTGTGTTCGAACCTGACACTCTGTGACGGAGTCCATATGACTGACTGCCGTGAAAGTCACATTGTTCAAAGTTCGCCAAATACAACTCTATAAAAATGTACATGCCACACGTACTGAAGTGACTGCAATTCAAGCTTCGCGAATATTCTTGTCATGAAAAGTTAATACCTTTGACAAAGCAAGTTATTTTAAACATTAGACAAGAACAATCCCTTTTCCCGATCTGCACGAGGTGACAGCTTTGCTTATTGATGTATCGATTACCGTTATCTCAAGGCAACGACGCCTTCTTCCCAACATAACTGGTTATGACAATACCACAGACACAATTCATTGTTTTAGCATATTTCAAGTCGCCATGTGGTTTCTGTACCGGCGCGTGCAGCACGCGCTGCCGGCGACAGGTGTTACGTTTCAAGGGTCGGCCAAAAGGCCTTCTGGTAATGTGACCTCTCCGGGCACGAGCTGTTGTCATGGAAACTCCATAAAGGAATTTTGATATGTTTAGCTGAAATACCGTTTCCGTTTCATTGTAGTCAATGTTTTATTGGACAATAAAAGACATTTGGCTCTAAACTCTTGTTGTAAGTAAGTGGTCCGTAGAATTAAATCGACCAACAACTTGTTCCAGGTTCGAGTAAGAATGAAAAATTGTTTGCAAGAAGAGTGAACTTGTTGTGTTGTGGGTCATGTATATGAAGCTGAAAACTTGAAATTGCTACATAATTATCATCCGTTCTGACGTATGCAGTTTGTGATAATACCATGTAACAATCAAACTACACTTGTCTTCTCAGATTCCCCAGTAACCATGTGTCTGAAGGACGACGACAGGAACAGGACTCTGAACGTGACGCTAACGTGTCCGCCAAAAACGATCATCGCCGTGGGAAAATCATTCTTCGGACAGAATCAGTGGGGACTATGTACCTTGACCAGAGACGACTGCACTGAAAACATCCTCAGTATGAACGTCTGTGACGGCAAGAGAAACTGCAGCATCTCCTTCCCCGGCACGTACACCACCAAGTGCGGTTTCGCTACCTTCCTCAGGGTCGCGTACGACTGTGTAGTTGGTAAGTCCATCTTACAAGATAGATCAGACAATAAATTACTGTAGAAGTTATATCGTCATTATAGTTGTATATTTCTTGGTTGTTTAACGCCGAACACAGCAATATTCGAGCTATACGACGGCGATCTTTAAATAGTCGAGTCGGGACCAGACAATCCAGTGATTGTCATCATAATCGTCAATCTGAGCTGAGTCACCGAGCCTGACCACCCGATCTCGTTAGTCGCCTGTTGCTCGCTGAAGATCAGTTCTTACCCTGATCTTCACAGGGATATGCCCGTAGGAACCAGCAGGGATACAGGGTATGACATTGAAGGCGACATAACTGATTCGGTAGTCACACTCGGTGACTTGGTTGCTGCATACCATCGTAACCCAAGTATGTGGATCTATCTTCATGATGTCAACCACTTGTTTGGTTTAGAGTCAATAGACAGTCGTATTATTGCTGGAATATTGCTGAGCGGGGCGTAAAACAACCAACAAACAGTGTGTTTATGTGATCACTTGTTCATTAATTCTGACCTGTGTCAAGAACCCCATTCTCGAGAGTATCACCTATTACAGCTCCATTTTATTGTAACAGATACGTTATACTGAGTAATAGGGATGCTGTAATCCTGGAAACCAAAATCGTATCAATGAAACTAGAGACAGATGTTAACATTAAGTGCCGGTGTTTGATAAAGTAACAGGTTAGCAACACTTCTTATTGTTCCTCTCTCTCCAGGACCCATCAATACACCTCCCCACGTGGAACAGAGGACACCTGACCCCCCGCAGCAGAAACGACCTTTGACTCCGCCCCCTACTCACCCCAGGCGCGTGGCCAGCTCGGACCCCGTGGTGACCCCACAAAACAATGATGGTAAGCCTGAAATGGGGCTTCATGACTTTAGTTTACCCCAGGGCATATCACAAACACAAAGGCGGTTGTGTTCGATCGTGTGTGGAGCTGTCTGGGCTCACAGCTGCAGGCAATTAGACAAGCTGAGGAACCCGACTGAATATTTTAATGAGATTTTTGTCGTTTCATCTTTCAAGAAGTTTGTTTTAATTTTCAGTAGTGATTTATCCTTTGAAGATCGTGTGCTCCCGTATCTGCACATGTACATTGCTCCATTATTGTGAGAAACAATTGTCTCTAACACGAGAATCTAACACGACGAGTACTGTATGGTTGTCTGAACAGGGAATGAATGCAAACGAATGGTGTCATGTTCCACTTGGCAGCTGTTGATTGAAGGAACAATAAAGGTGTTGGTCATTAGTTCACGAAAGGTAATTGTAGCTCGGACATGGTCAACCTGAACGCAATTGCATCGTTGTTTCAGACACTGCCTTGATTGCCGTGTGTGCTGTTGCTGTCGTCATCACGTTGCTGGTTCTCACCTTCGCCATCTACCTCGTCATCAGGCGGCTTCTCGGGTAAGTTAGTGTGTTGAATCGGGGAGCTGGGAGGAGGCGGAGAGTCGGATAACTCGGAGTTACTGTAATCCAGTGAGTTAGTGAGTGGAGTAAACTGAGTTGAATCGAGTGAGTGGAATTAGTGGAGTTAGTGAGTAGAATCGGGTGAGGGACTGATTGGAGTAAAAAAAGTGAGTCAAGTTAGTCGAATTAGTGAGTGGGTGAAAGGGAGGGTGGAAGCAAGTGAAGTCAAGTGAGTAAGTGAGTGAGTAGAATCGCTGAGGTAAGTCGAATGAGTGGAAATGGGCGATATCGAAAAGAAACAATGCTAGGTTCTGAACGCCGGATCGAACGTACCATCCGTATCGATACTAAAACAGATTTCGTTTTGTCACCTGCTACCTTTAGGCAAATCACTCATAGGGTATTTTACTTGAAATAAAATTATCCATCAGACTACATCTAACTCACAAATTTCGCGTAAAAGAGCATACGCCAGAAACCTGTGTAATATGGTGGATTAGTTGTCTGTTGTTATTTAAACGCAAACTTACTCCATTGTGGTCAATGTTTTAGGGTCCACCAAGACGTTCACAGTCCAGGTCTCATCAAAAGCAACGGAATCTCGGGTCTATTCTATGGACAGTTTGGATGTATTTTCTCCCGTTGTCATGAGCAAGACCCTGAAGATGGTGGGGAGGGACTCGGAGCTCCACCTGCAGAGCAGGACGATGACGATGAAAGCAGGGTGGCACCTGTAGGAGCTGCCGCGGTGGAGGAAGTGTACGAATTGGGTAGACCGGATATGACGTCAGATAGTCCAAACCAGACAGACGTTACGGGTCAGAATCCCACTGAAGGTAACTCTGCACGTGGGTCACATGGAACGGAAGTACACAGTGAGATGAGTCCTCGGGGTAGCAGAGTTGTTGGTGTGGGTGCAGCTGCTACATCCGGTGATGGGGTCAGCGCTGCCCGGGGGATGGACACAAGCCATGTTCGATTGGATGCCGTGGCAGTGCCGAACACAGAGCTCTCAACACTGTGCTAGACTGGAACAGACACCAGGCCCACAGGGGAGGGTATCTATAGGTCGCCATTGGCCACTATGACAGTTAGGTCTGGGTTAAATCACCATAGGCAGCTCAAGAGGGCAAGATAACTTGTACCTCGTTTGTCTGACCACTTGCTCACAATCACTGAACGTTCGCGAGTGATTAGTGTCTCATGGACCAAAAGGATGCCTGAGATATACATTGACCATATTTATGCTACAGAAGTTTGTGAACTCTGTGTTGATTGAAATCTTTCCAAGAAAGACTACTTTTGGATGACTCTGAGATGAGTTCAGGTCTACCAGCTACCGGATTCGTTTCTGGAAGCAGCATTTCAAGCCCAAGTTAATTATTTTTTATTTATATTGTTGACGTTTGAGTGTTTGAACTGTATGGAAGTGTTGTATGGAGTACATGGGATTGACACAGAAATGTGAAGTTGTTGTTTTTTTCAATGTTGGCATATTATTTTTTCACAAAAAAACAGACAAAAAAAGCATCAGAAGGGAGGTGTGTAGTTATTGTGACACCATACAGTCTGTGTGTGGCCTCATTTTAATGCAAGTTGATGCACTACAAACGACTGTGACTGCTGTGACGATGTAAATATTAAACAAGTACATATTTACTAAAACCGTCTTGTTATTTGTCTCTGTGAGTTTCTTTTATATAGTGGAGTGGGTCAGGGTTGCTCACAAGCTTAAGGTCTCGGAATATGCTTTGTTTGGTTGCATCGATTAGTGGAACCAGGATCCGCTGATCGAAGGATTTAATTCCGGATTCGTCCAGTTTGATCTGTATAATGTCAGAACCAAACAATGCTCCTAATATCACAAAACAATTGTGGAAATCTACGACCTGAATCACTTTCGAGTTGTCATTAAAATGCCGTCCAAAAACTGAAATTCTCTTCAAAGCAGCGTTACCAGCTTATAAATATGGAGTTGCTAATGTGTATTGCTTATAACACTACTGAGACCAGCTTATGGAGTTGCTAAAATGTGTATTGCTTATGGAGTTGCTAATGTGTATTGCTTATAAAACTACTGCGACCAGCTTATGGAGTTGCTAATGTGTATTGCTTATAAAACTACTGAGACCAGCTTATGGAGTTGCTAAAGTGTATTGCTTATAAAACTACTGTTACCAGCTTATGGAGTTGCTAAAGTGTATTGCTTATAAAACTACTGAGACCAGCTTATGGAGTTGCTAAAGTGTATTGCTTATAAAACTACTGAGACCAGCTTATGGAGTTGCTAATGTGCATTGCTTATAAAACTACCGAGACGAGCGATGTGATTGAATCGAAAGGCATACATTATTATCACGATCACAATCATAATCAATGTGGACAATCTATCCCATGTCGTTGGAATCTAGCCTGTAAATCCGTCGTCAGGTGTTTGTTTTTTTATTCACTGAGATACATATAGGGTGAACATTTATGGATGTAGACTTCTGTAATCTGGGGGACAGGACGTTCGACAGGGTTACCTTAAAAAGCCATGTCTCTCCGTTCCAAGAGACCATATTAAAATTCAGTCCAACTCTAGTCTAGAATGACTGGGCAAGTCCAGATTATATAAAATCATGTTCAAATTTTAATTATACATGTGTTTACATATTCAGTGGGTTTGTTTGGGTTTTTTGTGTGTGAGTGTGTGTTTATTTATAGACACGTATTGTTCAGTAACATATCTATGTTTTTTGGCTAAATGTGAGTCTGAACCAACACCAGCTGCCCCTGAAGAAGGGCCGCAGCTGAAAGCTGGTATATGGTTTAACTCAGCCTGATATCATCCATACATCACTGCTTCTACACAACCAAAGTATTTCCACACATTTTCTAAGGATACTTCCGAACTCACTGCACATGCCCCGTAGCACATGTGGTAAGATAATATACTTTATCCATTTGGACTGCTAAGAAACATGCTCTCACCTTGTCAGGAGTTGTTTCTTGATTAAAACGTTTCCTTGTGACGACACAGTATTAAGAATAACCTTTAAAATGAAGGGTTGGTCCACATCTAGCCATATTTGCAGAGGTTAGTCACAGTAACTCCTGGTTCGTTTGTGCCCTGACCCCTGTATCAGATTATAGTAAGGAGCTTCAGTTATAAATGTCCCACAAGTCTTCCATGCCAGCATATGGTACAGATTCATCCCCAATCATGTGTTGGGGAATAGATATAAGTAGTTTATAACTTTTATTACAAACTAATGAAGGTTTCTTTGTAATGTAAGTAGTTTTTAGAGCCGGATTTCTGATATCAATGATTCAAATTCAAGCACGCGTGAGACCAACATTTGCAATATTGAGACATCATTAAGGAAAAGCACAGTGCATGTATTCAGATAATACCAGTTTTGATAATTAAATATGTTATCAAACACCAATTAGATTTTAACCTATATTCCTACAGAGATATCACCTCAAACTAAAAAGAAACCAACGAAAGAAATGTTTAAAATACCTTGCTCAGTTAATTGAGATTCCTCTTGAAAGTGTTCCAAAACATAAAACAACTAAATGGGTATTCATTCTGAATCATGATTGTGTGGCAACTAGCATTTTATACAAGACACATATCACTTTGCAAGTACAAAATAACCCATTTGCTGGAATTTTCAATGGACAAATAATTCCATAATTCAAACCTTCCATATAGATATATAAAGAGGTCAGTTTACTAACGAAAATGTCAAATGCATCTCTTATTGAAATGTTATTTCATGTCAACAGTTGTATTACAAACCAGGCTTTAGATGAATGTTTTGAAAGTATTTTACATGCTTCATGGTTCACATTTCTATTGGTGTACTTATATATTCATATACCCTCACACATAGGCTTACATATTTATATCGATTTACACACTTACAAATATCAAACTTCAGAAAAAAAGTGCCTTCACATTAAAACATATCGTCTTTTACAAATACTCCATTATCAAATGTTTTTGGAAAAAATGTTGTGGTTCTGATTACCCGACTGACCCTTGAATTCTGGCGCCAACCCTAATTTTTGTATGCTGTATAAATGAAATAAACCTTTAGATACCATTGTTTTACCCCGGCACCGATGGACATCGGTCATTCTGATAGAGACAATCAACATGATGGCCCAAAACTTTGACTGAATAAACAATTATACATTGATAAATGTGTTATTAGCTTGTACTTGACTTCTGAAAAAAATGTTAAACAAAAAAATCCTACCTACGTACCCTAAATATTAAAGAGGTGTAATCTGAACCACAACATTTATTTTATTTGGCCCCAATTAGATATTCTAGCTAAGTGAAAATTGTGCTGAAATCGCAGCATGTTTTTGTAATCAAATAATACTTTAAAGACATGATCATATATAGTATGATCAGAAATTATTGAGAATTTTAGGAATATGTTTAATTGGATTTCTAGTATAAACAACCTTGACCAGCTATCAAGTGCTTGGTTTCATTCAAGAGAGACAACTCTGTTAATCCTTTTTCATTAGTTTGTGAAGAGTTATCCCCCTTTGTTTACTTGCTAGCAGACGACATTTTCAGTGATCCTCAGTATGGATGATTTAGAGAAGAGGAAGTTGATTTTAGAGTATTATAACAAGGACATCAGATCAGCTAAAGTGATTCCAGTAGAACAGGCATCCCTTTGTCCACTGTTTATCGTGTTTTGAAACATATTGCAAATGGATATGGCATTGAGCACCAGGGAGGCGCAGGTAGGCCCAGAAAATTGACTGTCGGTGACAGGAGGCGGCTTGGTATTCTTGTTTCTATAAACAAACGAAGGACTTTTGAAAACGCTGGCGGTCTATAAGGAGACAAATATAACTGAGCTGCATGCAATGGGTTGGCAGAAAAGTCGAGGAATTCCATCACCAATCATGAAACCTGGACAAAAGGAGCCACGGTTGAACTTGTGCTTACAGCATAGAAATTTTAACTGGGACAATGTGATTTTCTCAGTTGAAAGTTCTGTGTGGCTGTTTCCTAATACACTGAAATTCTGGAACAAACAAACTGAAAAACCTTTGTATCAGCGCCCAAAGTACAGTCCGAAATTTAACGTGTGGGGTGGCATATCTGTGTTAGGTGCAACGCCCCTCTGTGTATTTGAAGGGAATATGAACAGTGAGCGGTACACAGATATTCTCGAGGGACATTTACTTCCATCTGCTCACGTGTTCTATGGAATTTTGTTTGATTTTCCAGCAGGACAACGACCCCAAACATCGTTCAAAGCATTCACAGGCCTGGTTTCGGACCCAAAATAGGACATTAGTGTCAATAAGAAAAATCTGACAAATATTGCTGAAATGAAAGAAGAGGTGGGACAGCATGGACCACGACTTTCTAACTTCTTTGATCAGTAGTATGCCCCGCCACATTGAAGCCTGCATTGCTGCCCATGGTGACTTGACAAAATACTAACTGTTCACCTGTCTTTGAATCTGGAGTTATGTTCTGCTAATATTCACATTTAATATGTTAGTAATGAGTGAAAAAAAAATTAAAAATTGCAATCTTAAATTCTCAATAATTTCTGGTTGTACTGTATATTTTCTACAATCTTCAAGACTATCTTTTCATGAATTAAATCAGATCATGATGCAAAATTATTCCAAAATCAATCAAATTGATTTGTTGAATCTATGATGTGCATGATGTACTAGGTAGATAAGGTTTTAGGGCGACCTTGGGCCTTAAAAGGCCTATATGCGCCCAACACTTAACAAACTGTAATATTATAAACCATCTAGCAGTTATCTCCCTTGAACCCAATCAACACTACAAGCAAATACTCCCAACGCCTTTAATGCTACATACATATACACTGTAAATACACATACAAAATACTTATCATTCATTATTGTTGCAGCAGCATGTAGAATTACTAAAGGACGGATGAACAAGTTGCAGCAAACTGATACAAATTTGTGAAACTGAAGGTGATTAAACAGACATTGCAAGCTGTAACAAGCAAATTACACAATACATCTTAGTTACTGATTCAGTGTACTATGTACACTGTTTAAACAAGACTGTGATGCTTGGATGAAGAACAGTACAAATGAGTGCCATTTTCTGTACAACAATTCCTGTATAACAGCAGTTATGACCCTTGTGCAGTTCAAGTCCCTATTTCATCACACAACCAATATATATGTTATGCCTGGTCAGTTCTAACCCTTCAGTCCACATCTGCTTCCCACCCATGTAACAAGAGCCTTGGTAATGCATAACACATCTCTAGGCTGCTCATAAAGCAACCATTGTACCTGGTGTACAAGGTCAGAATACTCTTACAGAATACAGTATCACAGTCATTTTTCACATAAATAGTTGGTAGACCAATTGAAGAAGCTATCTCAGAACTTTCTTTACTTTTGGTTTGAGTTCAAACGATGCTGACACACGACTGCGTACAGTTATTGTTGCATTTGAGATTACGTTCCTGGATTGTTGTCATGGTTACTGAGTCGGAGTTTGTGTCTGTGTGTCCTTCTATCTCCTGGTTGTCCTCCTCCATGATGTACACAGGTCGACCCACAGACAGATGGACAAAGCGGGCCATTTCCTGTGCCTTTTGTTTTGCGTTGTGGATGGCTACCAGACTGGCTTGTTTCCTGAAACGTGTAACCATGTTTTCAGTAAATACTGTAGCAACTTTCCCAATTCCCCAAACTTGGCGTAATTAACAGATTGAAAAAGACATTCCAAGCACATCAATATCCATTACTTGCAATCTGACCTGAGACTCTCTAGGCTCTGATTCGTGTGGAAGAACTCAGGCAAGGAGACTGTGACTGTATCATCAAGCTTCTCCACCAGCAGGTTGCCGACGCTCTCACTCTTCTTGATGTCTCCAAACTTTACCCCGACCTCTGTCTCCATCACATACAGTGAGTCACTCCTGGACAGGTGTTTGTGGATGTGTAGGTCCTGCTCCTGAATAAGTAGAATTGTAAAATACAATCACAGACTGTTGTGTCAAAGTTGAAGGGACCGAGATTAAACACGACAGTGATAAGTCAATTAGGAACATCCAGGAAAGAAGCTTTTGCGGAAAGACTTCCGCCCGTATCCCCCCTTAAATTTATTCTAGTCAAACCATATCACCTGAATGTATATATATTCCTCATCTGATAAGGATGCGTTTTAACATGTTTCTTTAATTGTATCTGCACATACTGAAAGACACATCCAACTTCTAAAAGTGCCACTCAAAGAAATTGTTCCTCATCGTTAACATTTAGGGGGATACGGGCGGAAGTCTTAACGGTTTTGCTTCAAGACAAAAAGTCGGCATTGTTGTTTGGTTTACTGCTAGAGGCTAGACATTGGTAAAATACTCTAACCTTAATTCCGTGGTTCTGTAGGGTCTGCACAATGTAGTCGAGGCGCCGGGCCACGCTGTTCTTGGCATCCTGGGGGTTGTCCTTCTTGCTGGTGACTCGCACTGTGAAGCGACTCAGATCAGGGGGCTGAGAAACTTCACCCACAGCAGTTACTCGAATTTGCCGGTCCCCTGGTGACACAGCGTCACATGCCGCCCTGTTGTCATCAAATTGTATTATCTTGTGAGGTGATTTCTCCACAGGGCGATTCTGCATCTCAGCAAACACTCTTACTGGGCGATATGAGGCCATTCGTTAGAACACTGTCGTCTTTTGCTGTAAACACAAGCTTCGACTTGTTTATACGGAAAAGTGTAAAACATGACACGGCATTCTCATCCGAAAGTGGATTAAAGCACGACAATGTACGTGAACATTTTCTGTCAGATGAGTCTGAAGAAGTCTAATTGAAGACTCCTTCGTAAACACACAAAACTGGCGCTTCATTTTAGTTAGGAAATCTTTCTGGTTATATTTCTTCTATCAGAGACCTAACGTTTCTGTTTCTATACACAGACAAATGGGTTACACTTCAAACAAAACATTTGATTTAAAAATCAGCTGGTACTATGAGAATAAAGATTACTCACTCACTTTCATGGAAAACGTACGTGAACATCTTCAGTACCAAAGGAGTCTGAAGAAGTCTAAAATTGTAGAGTCTACCCTTTCGTAGAATATACAGAAATGGCGCTTCTGTCAGGTTATATTTATATACACAGACAAAATGGTTTACAATTCAAACAAATTATTTAATTTAAAAATCAGTTGGTACTATGAGAGTATAAATGCTTGTTAGAAATACTGGGATTCATACTTCATTAGCACATTCACTCCCTGTGAGTTGAATATTGATACTTCATGAACGTCTAAGTAATGTAATATGTATACTTTACATCAAGAATACAAACGTAAACCTGCAAGTGTTTTCTTTTAGAATTTTTCGTAACTCTTCACAGTTCAGTATAACTCCTCCTCCTATACGTTCAACCACTTGGGCAAAAGTCGCAAGGAATCTGATGAAATTACAAGATGAACGCGCTGGATCGATGTTTCTTTTCGTTTCTGAATTTATACTTTAACAAGTACTACTTCCGGTACTGCGGCAATATCGCTTACTGTGCTAACAAATCATTGAAATACATTTTATTGTAGTTATGTTACAAAATAAGCATTAGGACAAATGGCGTACCTACTGCACATTTAAACCGTTACATTCCATTGAAGTTCTCGGGAACGATAATTTTGTATTGATATCAGCGATGCGGTGTCGGAACGGAAGTCAAGTTTGCCATATCGGGAGCGACCAAACCCACCTGGCCAAGGCCAGTTGTTGCACCGTGTCCTTTCGTTGAAATCTTCAATCACCGCATTTTACGTTGCATTTACAACTCCAAATGGCCTCCAAGTTCGGAAAAAGGCCCGAAGGGTCAGATGGAAGTGATTTCTGGCACAGGGAAAGTATCGCGGGGCAGTATAAAGTTAGGTGAGGGTCAAATATCTGATGCATCAGTTGTCACGTTGACCCATATTTGATACATGTTTGCTAGTAATTACTGTATTTGATAACACATTTACATACATGTTTCACCGGAAAGAATGCAGGTTAATCGACACACCCTCCGATCGTGTTGCAAAATGACTTACAATTCACTGTTCTTGTATGTCGACACTGGAATGTTACCGGGCCTAACATTATGGCGCCAGCTGCTGTCATTGATCTCGCGTGTCTGAAACTGTATTTAAGTAATCGTAGGGTACCCCAACTATAACTTTAGACCTTGAATCATCTTTCCAAAAGCGAACCCTTTGTGATCATTTAGGTTAATTACTTCTATCTGATCAAACACCTCTGCACTATTATTAAGTACCCCTTTCCAATCAATGTTTAGGTTTAGTTGTGACTTTGGGCTAGCCATCTCACCTCTTTTGACAAATGTTTTCAAAATAAATCCAGGCTACTAATGTGTTATGTGGTCAATTTTCATGGAAAAAGAAAATAATTACCTAAGATGTAAGCAAGCCTGTATACAATTCTGCTGATGTGCTTTAATCTTGTCATCCATCACAAGGTACACAAGCAGTACAATTGCGAGTGTTAATGATCAGTGTCATGTGTTTTCTAGTTAAGCAAGCCATGTGGTGCTATTGGTCAAAGGGACCACTAATCTTTGTTCATTATAATGATAGTTTGTTATATGCATTTTAATCGAACATACGACAAGTAACCAGGACCCCCCAAAGTTAGCATGTTGTACCCCCCAAAATTACAGTTTGTTATATCTGTCAGTTTGCTATTTAAATGTTTCTGTAAACATTTTTTATTTTCTATGTTTTTGCTTTTCTTCAAATATGCTTACATCTATTTTTAGTGGCATTTTGTGTATTCAGTGAACTAAAATATCTTGATTGTACCCCATTTTATTATTATAGGATATTTATATAGCGCACATATCCAGGCAACTAATGCATGCTCAAGGCACTGGGATTTTTCCCTCGCTCATTGGATGTCAATCTCAACGGCACATCGTATTTAATTATCAATCTCAACTCCCTGGGGAGTATACAACTCTTGCAGCCACTAGGCGGACCAAGTTATTGTGGCTTTCTCATCCTAACGAGGTACCCATTCACAGCTGGGTGGACTGGGACACATAGTCACAGTACTTTGTCCAAGTTCACTGCACGTTGCTGTACCCGCAACTAGGTGTTTGCACATATTCATGTGGCCACCATCTGGTCATATACCAACGGATGTGTTAGTGTGTGAGTCCCATCAGCAATTAGAACACACACTCACAGAGTGTCTCACCTAATCACCTTCAAAGTCAGTGGTCTAACCCACTCAGTATTGTTGCAAAATGGAATTGTGACAACTGGTAGTCGAGATCATGTACTTTGTGTACCCCTCTAACAAGTCTGAATTGGCATGGCTCACATGTACAAAAGCAATGAATACACAATGCTGTTTACATTGAACACTTTCTTAAAGGCATTATGTATTCATAGCTTTTTGTCATGGGATCATGCCGATTTACACTTGCATACTCAATTTTACTTAAAACTTGCCATACTTCCAATTCCTTGGTAGTGGTTAATCAGGGTTTGCTGTAATGTAAAATGTGTGTCCAGTACACAAACGTACATAATGGATGCAGAAACAATACTTATTACTTGCCCGTGGAAGATACGGCAGTGTAATATTTTTACGACAATATTACACTAGTGTAATACCGCTAGACATATGACGTCATAATGGTTACAGTTACGACGTCACAATGCTAATGCCTCTGTCGCAGTGGTATGAGACCTTGCTTGACTAGCGGAATGCTGAGAGTCATCACACTGTAGGCTATTTCTATCAAATAATGTTTGAGAGTAATAAACTGAACACTAAACTCGCTTCCGTGAAATATTTAGTATCACACTTGCTTTCGCTCGTTTGATACCAAATCATTAACTTGTTTAATAAAAATGGTATTACACGGAAGGTCGTTTAGTATCCTCTATATATTACATTGCAAGGGACCTACAGTAATATTCATTGTACCAGATTCTTGGCAAGAAATATAAGGTTTTTGTAATAAAAATAATTGCTAAATGTTATCATTCAGTACTTTACAGTACCCTCATATTTCCTTTAAGGACTTTTGAAGTCAACTCTGGTTAATGCATTTGCTTGTCATGCTGAAGACCTTGATTTCATTCGACCCATTTGTGAATCCCATTTCTGATGTTCGTAGCTTTGATACTGTGATAATATTGCTGAAAGCAGCAGAAGAACTCACACAAAAGTAAATACAACCTAAAACAAACAAGCTCTATACCTTTGTTTTGGAATTGTTTGGCCCATGGTAAATTTATGCATGTGACCCCATGACCAGATGGATGGCAAATTTTAAAGTAATCAAACTCAAGATATTCTTTATACATATAGATACTCATGATATCAGTCACTGGATTATCTGGTCAAGAGTCCATTATTTCAAGATCAGTGTTATATAGCTATAATATTACTTTGTGTGACTTCAAACAACAAACATTATGTCTATCTTTACACTTGGTACACATCTTTCTTCTCTTTCAGCACTGAAAACAAGTCGAGACTGAGGCTAGATTTGTTCTTTCACTTCGTCACTGGCTTCATGATGTTCATTCGTCTACTGCCAGCTTTAACTGCCTTTTTCGGGATGTCGGTGAAGATGTTGCGTCGGTGGGATCTACCAGCTCCGCGGTCGTGGGAGTACGCTTGGTTCATTAGTGTTGTAGCTGCCGTGCTTGGGTGGAAATCAACACCTCACAACCAAATATTTCTCATCAAACAGTACATGCTAGGATCTGTTGTATTTGGGATTTTCCCTGTTATATTTGGTTTCATAGATGTTGCTGATGATTTAGGCAAATACTACCATGAAAAGAAGTACACGTATGTGATGTTTGGCTATCCTGCAGTTATTGTGTGGTTTTTGTTCCTGCTTGTAGCAGTGCAGCTGCACATCTTTGGACTTTATTTTGGCACTGTGCTTGTGAAAGCATGGCGACCCCGTGTTGTAAAACCCAAAGAAGGATAAACATCTCACCCAAATGTGTTTTGCATGTTTTCAGTGTTCTTGAGTACTGACCTTACCGGCCAGCTATCAAACGGTTTGAATGGGTAGTTGGAACCCTGGGTTTGAAAAAATATGGAAGATTAGTTTGTTTGAACAGGCAATTAAGTGGCAGGGTGCATGAGATAGTGGCAGGATGCATGAGATAATGGCTGTGTCAAACCTGTATTGTGACCCCTCATCAACACTGAGGTCAGTGCCATCTTGCCTTATTTTGTCTCCTCTCTAGTGAAAGGAGAATATGGGACCATCAATAAATATTCATTTTCTGCCACAACAGCAAGCCACTGCTTCCATTAGAATTTTAGATATCATGAATTAGAGTTCAAAACTTTTGATAGTTGGTCATTTAATTTTTCTCTCTAATTTATTCCTCCATGTAGTCATGGTGTAAATGTAGACATTTATTCCCCCAAATAGTCTATGTAGGTATAGAGTTTTCACCCTGATAATGTCAAAATGTATTGAAAGTTCACCTGGTATGCTGTTTTATTCAATACATTTAGGAGAAGTCGATATTTACTAATAGTGTACACTAACACATCTTCATGTTGACAAATATTCATGAGAACATCTGTCAGGTCAGAGAGCACTGATGTTGGAACTCAGTTCATTTTTAGTGACAGGTTCTATTTTCACTTGTATATTGTTTTGATAAGCAACCTACTGCCGCCATATAGCTGGAATATAGCTGAGTGCGAAGTTAAACATCAAAACAAATAACAGGGACACTATAAGACGGGGAGTGGTCACTCCTCGAAAAGCCCCTTAGCCTATGCCTCGGCTCGTCACGTGACCAGTGTAGCCAATATGGCGGCAGCTTAGTTTTTAAGATTGAGCCTGGTTTATTTTCAACAGCTGATTACATTCGCTCAGTGTTGTGACAACTGAAAACCTACACGTAGAAGGTTAGTCACCTATTCGGTCACTTCATTTTAAGTCAAATAATTGTTATTAGTGTCAGTATTAGTACAATAGATTTGTAGTAAGGCTGAAGGCTAAATTGCTAATGTAAAAAACGTCTCTAAGTGGATTTAAAAAAAGAATTGACAGCTGATGTTAACACATGTGTTCTAGTGATAGTTTTGTGTTCTTTAAAATGTTTGGGGAGGGGTGGCCAGGGTGTATCATTTATTCTTTCATTCATTCACATATGTATTTCTGTTGTTCTTTTCTTTATTTCTTTCATTCATTCACATATAATTCTTGCTCTTAATTCTTGCTATAATTCATTCATTAATTCATTGTAAAATTTGGAAGATAATTGAGAAATTGAGAGAAAAGGCATGGGAACTCATAAGCATTTAACATAAACAGAAAGGCAATGATACATTATGAGACATTTTAATTGCGTAACAGATCAATTCAAACATATATCATAATAGTACTGTACAGATATGTGTAAATATTGAAGGAAACATGCATGATCATATTGACAGTATAGCTTATGTTTGCAAAAAGTATGCTGACTGAAATAATAAACTGTCTGAAGTACTGTTAAATGCAACCGAAGTTGCGCTGGGAACGAACCAAGTCACTGTGTGCGTTGGAGCATGACGAGGCACATGCTAATTAGTACAAATGGTAGATAAAGTAAGCGAGTGACCTCTCCCTGTTGTAGAGTATCCCTGCAAATAATAAGCAACCTATTAGTCTACAGGCAAGTTTCTAAGCACTTAAGGCACTTGTCAAGACAAAAACTGTGCCTGAAATATTACTGATGTGACGTAGCATTTACTGAATGATTTGAATGTATCACAAGATACGCTGTGGAGTGTTAATAAGTAGCATAGTGATGAGTCTCCCATTAATTATCATGTGATACATTACCCTGTCATTCACTAATGTTTTTTCAGCTCAGACCTGTCAATTAAATTGTCTGTTATCTTACATAGGTATCACGTAACATTACTCTGCATGCAACGGATACACCTTGTAGCATGCTTGTCAGGAGCACTTGGCACCTCCTGCAGGTGCTACCTGGATGTGTGTACTTGACCAGTAACAGGAGGTATTGGTCTTACATAACTGGTCACCACCCCTTGGCTGGGTGTCAGGTTATTGAACTGTTGCGGGCATGTGCAACAAGATGTCATAACTCACAGATAATGTTCTGTTACATACATTGAGTTAGCTGTGTGGTGCAGGAGATTAAGTAGCAAGTAAACACCATTCTGTTAAATGTGCAGCCAAACTCAGTGATAGGATCAAAAGCTTAACACTGTGTCTCAATGTGTTTCAAATAGGGCTTTATACAAAGATCAATAATTCATGAGTAGATCGATGGAAAGAATTATTAATGATTATCGATATGAAAACTGTGTCATCGATATAATCGTACATAAACTTTTGTGATGAAATAAAATTAGAATTTCAAAGTTAGGTCTTTCAGGATGCTGTTTCGTTAGTCATCCATGCATAAACATCACAACTCATCAGTGACGTGAAAAATGTTGATTTCTTTCAGACCTTTTGGGCATTTCTCCAATATTTATCAGTAATCAATCAATATTTAGTTAATGATTATTAATCTTAATGATCTATATCAATAGCCAGCCCTAGTTTAGAATATGTTATTGCAGCATTATACACACTGAAATAAGGGGGTCGTTGAGCCAAGTGGTCGTGAGTTTTACCTCACCCAAGACACAGATTTGATTCCCCACATGGTGGTTCAGAGGGAAGTCTATTTCTGGTGTTCCCTTGTATTATATTGCTTGTATATTTCTGAAAGCAGCATAAAAACGTAATCACTCAGTGTTAAGCCAGTACAATCCTAATTGATGAAACTAGAACAAGGATAACCTCAATAACTTGTGTGACTGCAGGCTCCCTGCTAACATAAGCAGACACAGTGTGATGTACTGTCCAAATTAATGTTAACACTACTCAGTCCTGCTGCTTCTGCTTGTGTGCTTGCTGTACATTTTTGTCACAGTACTCTGTACATATGTAGTTACCATGGTTACCAGCATGTTCTGATAGTTTTACTAAATCGGTAATAAATGAAAGTTTTATGACCTTATTTCTTTTTTGGCTTCAGATTACAATTTAATCTTTTAAAAACTTGTTTAGGTAGTGTATTACAGACAACGTATAGTTAGGAATAGGCTGCTTGAAATGTATGTATGACTGAAAAGTGAAAGTATGAGGTGTCTTCTCATATTATCTATGTGGGCATTTTTCTTTTTCTGAAATAGTTTCATGATTGGGATGTATATTATGTTCACTTTTTTTTTCATATTAAATTTCTTTTGATTTGGAACATTTTGATGCAAAATGTAAAATAATTAAGAAATTGCTTTTAGGGTTTATTTGAACTTTCTTTACAAAATAAAGCTTGAATTATTTTTGTATTTTTTTTTTTAACACATTTGCAAACTTTTGCAAACCCAGCATGTATGCTGAATGATGTGTGAGGCCTGTTTCTAGGGCTCCTGCCATTATATTGTTCGGATACTGCTTGAGAAACAGTATGAGAACTGAAGAACATCTCATAACTGATACGCAGTATTTGAATGTGGGTTGAACTTCTTGATGAATATTTCATGATCTTCATCTTTCTTTTAACTGATGACTTTCAAGTCATATTTCGTGAAATACATTCTCTCCTCAGGAATAATGTCCCACTCCGACTCCTCCCAGTAGGTGTCTTGTCAGAACTGGTAAAGAAATGTTTCTCATCAGTGCCAGAATTTAAAAATGGCTTGGAAATAATGCTTTGGGCTCTTTAAACCTCATTGTTGTGTACTTGGTTTTGTTTTTAAACAACAAATGAGAGACTGTAACCAATAATAAGACTGAGCACTTCATTACAACAAGGAAAGTGTTGAATATGCTTCTCTAAACTTTGAAACAATCAAGTATAGACAATATTCCATAGTGTACCATATCGTATGAGACAGTGAAGGAAGATCTTGAAGACTTATCTATAGTGCAATAAGTTAGGAAATGGTTGAATTCAGATTTCAGTGAAAAAAAAATGACTAGCTAGGTTTTAAATAACTAGCTAGGTTTTAAATACAGGCAGTTCAATGAGAAACATATCTTTTTCTTTTCTTTTTATTGTTATCATATTGTGTTGTTCTTAAGCATGTTGAGTTAACCTGAGTTAATGTGTGCTGTATTTATTTGTGTGAATGCTGAGACTAACACCATTCATATTGATTATTGGGGCTGTAACGATACACTTGGTCAAGGAATGTTGTCCAAGAAGAATCCTTATGGGTACTTTGGTGAGTTTGGTCTAATATCACCACTCAAATTACCATGATCTGCAGGTATTCCAACCTGTTTCTGAAGCTCAAAAGGACTTATGTTTCACAGTATTACAAGAGAGACATCAGAAAGTGATACATGATATCAGAGACCATATAATATTATACTTGACATCATAGAAAACCACATTCCAGCACCAAGAACAACCAGAGATGCAGAAATTGTTGATAATTCATGTTTTAGATGTTGACATAAATATATACTTCTCATCAGATAGGGAGCATCTAGGAAGGGTCTTAATGTGACTGTAAATATGTTGTCATTTTCCTTTTCAAGTCAATTAAATACATTTCAGAAAGCAGATACTTTCTTTTTCACATAACTGTGTGAAATAGCTCACTATGCCTGTATATGTTGAGCAGTATATACAGATATGACTGGAGCATACATGCTAGTATTGCTGTGATGGTATAAAGAATCTTTCTACATCAATACTTTTGATGAATCGTTACAGCCCTAACCATTATTTTTGTTCTGGCATGCTAGAGGGTGCATGAGATGTTATTATTTCAGTCCCTGTAGTCATAGTGTGATGATTTTAGCTGAACACAACGCTGCCACATGTTAATTGCTCAATAGCCATGATACTCAAGTGTGATGTTAAACTCACACAAATTAAATCAGGTAAACTGTCCGTAAACACTGAATGCTTACCTTCAGGTCGGATTCAGAACAGGGGCAGAAATAGAAAAAAGACAATAAAGACTCCTTTTTTCAGTATTCTATTGGTATGTAAGGACATTTTCATTAGAATAAGTGCTTGGAAATAGGTTTGTATTTCTTTGGAACATCATCAGGTTAACTTTTCAAGAATCAGCAAAGTGTTTAAAGGGAGACAACTGTCCTTGACATCTCTGCAAGAATCCAAAGTGATACTACTATACTATACAGACAGTTACAAAGTTACATGTCTATATGTACTGTTATATATTCTGCATCACTTGTTATATCTGCTGATGAGTTTCCTAGCTCAGTTCTCTCCCCTGGGAGGAAGGGGAAGCGGTTCCACGTGTTCTCCTTTTCATCATTCATGTGGCATTGTTTACGGAGAAGGAAACACGGTTTGAAAAAGAAAGAGTGTGACCAAGGTCACGTGGAAATGATGAAGGCAGACTCTTACGACAGACGCAGGTTATAATAGGAATAAATAGCTATTTTATAGATGATGGCACTGGCCTATCGGAATGTCAGACATGTATGTCTAGCTGATGCAGTAGCTTCAGTCTGTCTAAAGACAACAGGAGGTGCATCTTCATGCTGACGTGATAACAGTTATCATATGTCACTGGCAGATCATATATTATTGACAGTGTTGCATATTCAAAGGAAAAAGGGTTATGTTCCTGGGACTCGGAACAAGCTTGTCCTGGTGTGACTTGTACTACACAGTGTCTGCAGCATCTTCGGAGTCTTCTTTAGCAAACAACTGGGTGTAATCACTTGTCAAGGTCAGTGAACTAACGGTCAGAGCTGATTTCAAAACACAAATGTCTTCTTTCTAAAAATAATTATCTTTGTGTCAAAATGGTGAACAAAACGTCACTGAAACATCCATCTAACTCATGGCTACTCCAGTAGCATGTTGCTGGTGTTAGGGTGGGATATGACCTGCAGTAGAAGTGGAATGTCTGGATGACAGAATTATCTTCAGTAGAATGTGATGAATGTCTGAATGGCCTCCAAAATAATATAGTGAATGTCTGTCTGATAACATTTGAATGATCTCAGACAGATTGGGATGAATGTTTGAATGATCTCCAAAACTGTTGGTGTGATAACATTTGAATGATCTCAGACCGAAAAAGATGACTGTCTGAAAGGTCTACAATTGCATGCAAAATGAATGCTCGACAATTTCCTCGTCATATGAGCGAAATATTCTCAAGTACGATGTAAAACCCAATTTCACCTCACCTCACCTCGACAATTTCCATGGAACCAGATCACAGTGCGAATGACGTATTATTTTTAGGAATGCAAAAAATGTACATATCAATGTTTGTGAGAAAGGAAAGTAAGTACAGTAACTGTTATCAGTGATTATGTTCATCAACATCTTGTGTTCCTCTTTGTTAACATCTTGTAAATACTGATTCCTTGGGTATTTTTTTCAGGGCTGACAAAGCTGCAATCAGTGGTATTGAAGGAGAATTTGAAGTTTTCCTGCTACAACATGCATCATCTCACATCATGAAGCCTCAAATCTATTGTTAAATAGATAGACTTCTTTGTCAGAATAAAAACTAATAGTCTTTACAGTGACCTCAGTCGAACAAAATGAGCACTTCAAGATGAGCGATGCACATGGTCACATAGTGTAAGAGCTTCAGCTTCCCATCAGGATCAGATGTACAGAGGTGCCTGTTGATTAACCTGAAGTGTTCAATGTCATGTACTAGAAAGACCATCAAAGCTTGACACACATGGATAGTCGATATCACACATTTATAGAACTTCTATGGAACCTTTCACTGAAGCTTCCAAATATTTTTGTAATATTTACACTAATAGTTTTCAGTTGTTTTAGTTATAGTGTAATGTAGTTTACTAGCTATGGTGGTTTTTCTGTAGGAATATTGTTTTTTTCCATGTATACTGAAGAACTTCATTGACAAACACCTGTTAACAACAGTATGTTGTGTTATTGTTATGGGATGAGACTGCACCTTGGATTTTTTGGATGTGAAGAAATCTTTGAAAACTTGCTGCTTGATTATTTTGCACAAAGTATTTTGTTCATCATGGCTATGTACATACTGGAGTGAAAGCTTTGATTTTGAACATGTTTTGTACATACATCAGTGATAAGCAAAAAGATCTCACTCCCAAACTAATATGAGTGAAGTACAACTGTACAATATAGAGTCTGTTTCACAAAACACTCTGTTCTCTGTGGTACTGTACTATGGTGTTCTGTGGGCAGTGTTTGTAGTACAACACTCGGCTCTCTGGTGGACAGTGTCTACATGGTACTATGATCTAATGTCTTGTGGACAGTGCCTGTGAAACTATGCTCTAATGCCTGGAGGACAAGTATATGGTTCAGTGCTATGGCGTGTAGTTGAAGATGACTGAAATACGAGACTCTTGTATCAGGTGGTCAGTTCCTGCGTTGAAGTTGTCATCGTTTTGCGAAAACTTGTGCCAAACAGTCCAGCAGGCACTAGAGACGTGGTATTCAACAGAACCTGTTACACTATTTAGTTCGATGAATGTTTCTCTTCCCAGTTTGATCCCCCAAATAAATGAATTTAAAGAAGCTACTTGTGGTTTGTTACTTCCAGAAGTTGTTTTGATTCTGCATCCATCCCACCTTTCCATCCTGGCGACTTCCGTCGTAGGATTCAGGAAACAGATAACGCTGATTTGGTTTGGGTACGAGTGTAAAGCAAGCCATTTATGGCCTCTAAGATGTCCTGTGACAAGAATTGATTATATAAATGTATATAAGAATAATATATCTTGTTTTTAAACAGTCATGTGTAAATTAGCACGAACGCGAAAAGTTTAAAAATAGAGAATGATGAGAAAAGCGCTCTGCACTTAAGGGTCGTGTCGAGAAAGAAAATACACAATACACAAGCAGGAAGGTCTGATGGATGCCCTTTATAATTGAAATGTTAAAAATCTGGCTGCTGAATTATATAAAGCAGAAGTAGCACGAAAGATTACCCTTGCTTTGGTCTTCCCATAGGCGTCTGAAAATTAAATGGAGACTGCCCGCCACCAGGTTTAGGCAGACGCTATTTGTATCAGTACGGTCTACTGGTTTTCAAATGTATAGCCAGAGAATAACCAGTCTCGAATATTTAACTCTACAAATTCCATTTGGATGTAAAAAGCAAAATAACGACGAAAACTACATACAAGTCATGACAAACCGTTCGCAACCATACAATAGTTTGTGTTGGTAATATGGGTTCGAACTTGTCCCGCTGAAGTCCTTTGGGTTCATCTCAGGTGGAGAGTTTCCACCAAAGTGAAAAACGCCCCCCACCTGCACCATCGGAGGCTTCATACCTAACCTGAGCGATGTAACTTTAGCAATGTCCAAAACCCACCAGAACAAGTCCATCTTGGGCACAGGTGGTCTTGTCTGCAATTCGCTTTGCCTCACTTGGTAAGCCAGACATGTGATCGTGGTTTCGAGTCCCCTGTTTCTCGGTTTGCCTAGCACCATACTCATGCTTTCAGGTTTCACAAGAGTGGGGCAGCACTCCGGCTTTCCTTCCACACCAAGCTGACCCGTCATGACGGAAATACGTCTGGAGATGGCGTTAGAGCCAACTCAACCTAAACATTTCTTCCTATCTGTTACAATAAGCTACTTGGGAGTACCGATTGAATTCATGACTGACCGGAGGACTATATATGCAAGGGGCATGCAATCAATAGTCCTAGTTTTGAGACGGTTATTCTTAGTACATGAGGAACATTTGCCTTTTCAGGAAAGAAACTGAACGTAACGTGTTAAATACCAGCACTAAAGAGCTTTACTTAAGTAAGTTTGTTGTTCTGTGATGTGAGGAATAGGGTGATGCTCTGCACAAATCTACCCACAAGGCCACATCAATATAATCATGTTTGGAACAAAACACACAAATAAGAACATCGCTGGAAGAGTGCAAAATAGGTTCTTCTCTCATTCTTAATATTTTGACCTGTTCGTGATTTCTAATTCAGTACAGTGCACTCTGTCTAATTCGGACCAGCTTGGGACCGACTAAAAAGTCCGAATTGTACAGTAGTCCGAAGTACACAGATTTTAAATGGGTTATCTCCCTATTATGCAGAATTAAAATTTGAAAATTGAGGACTGGGACACCTGGTAGCGGGTCCACAATAACAATAAAGTCAAAGTAACGATGTTTCGAGGAATTCATGAAATAAATTTAATTGAATGAAAACAACAACAACATTGTACTCTCGACAAAAAGTACAGAACAAAATTGGTGTTTTAAATGGGATGAGTTCAAGGCTGTATGAACAAAATCAGAAGGTCTTTAATTTGTACTGACGACGCTTGTCAAGGCTGGAACAAAATCAGCTGTGGTCCGTAGGCGTCAGCCAGTAGGACAAGCGAAGAACTACAAATTAAACTACGACTTGTCTAACCTCTGTGATTTCAACAGGCAACGAGCAGAGTTACCTTTCTGGTTTCATGTACATGCAACGGGCTCTATAGACTGGGATTGAGCAAATCCTTGCCAAAGCCATGCTCTAGCAACAAATCGTTTTAAAAAACCCAGTTCTCGCAATGTGTTTTGCAATTGCCAAATGTACATATAAATATACATGTAGGTGTGTGTGAAATATAATGTTACTACCGTTCACACTGCATTGGAAGCGCGTTGGAAACGAACACTGTCTGAGTTAACTGATCTGTTACAAGCACACGATTCTTAAACACACAGTATGTCATGAATAGCAGAGGGCAACACTGCAGGACCTGTCTGATTGGTATGCAAAGTTGCAAAATTAATATTGAAAAGCTTATGAATTACACTCCAGAGATCCTTACTTTCATTTTGAGTCCGGCGTGTCACAGTCTTGGAAATGCACGCAATAACAACCTAAATAGTACACGTGTATATCAAAAGACACAAGCTTGCCAATTAATGTTAGCCTTGCTCCAAGGCTGTACTGAATGCTAAGCCCATGGGATAACTTGTATGTATATAATTAATAAATACAGTCAAACATTGAATCAAACGTAGTAGCATTTTATCCCATTTGGCCCCGGTTACTATTTCACAGGGAACCAAATAAGGGATTAAAGGAGATTATCACACCCCAGTGATTTCTTCTACTGAAACAATAGGATTTGGGTAAGTGGGAAGACCCCGCCCATGGATGTATAGTAATTCTACCCTTTAAAGAGGCAAGTCTAGATAAGCCGACAGTCTAAGACGCCAGTCTGTTATTTATATATTCTTTTTAGAAATCTTCATTTAAACTATTAATTATTACCCTAAAGACTTGTGCAAGTCTAGCCAAAATGTGCATACCAGGATTATGAGTTAAACTCCTGAAATGTAATCTACCTTCTTTCACCCAAACAGTCAGACTATAGCTGTCTTGGATACGCAAAAATATATATCCTGAATAACAAAGGGCACATTCAGCACTTACTGTTGTGTATAACAGTTTATTGTTCAATATTTCAATAGTCTCCAAAGCAGTCGTAAAATATCTACTATCATTGACACTAATAAAGGGAGGCAACACTCGTTTGTAAACTGGTTCACTTTATGGTCGCGTTAAACGCTAAACGCGTTAACCCACGTAGACGGAACCCAAGTCTAAGCTCTTTTGTAGAAGAAATAGAAATCTCGAATTTCCGGTGCGGGAAAATTGAGAAATTCTACGCGAACAGAAGGAAAATATGGATACTGCTGAATCTGTCTCAAAGGTAATTGACGAAATGTTTAAACCTTCTGAGTGGTATGCCCAGTGTGCTCAATTAGAATTTCAGTAAAACTGACATTACACTGCAACATTGGCAACACTGCAGTTCACCGGGCACAGTTTCTCAGCATATCGGATATCCCTATGGTCACCGCTTTGTGGACTAAGATCTGGTACATACACTTACTGTCATGATCAGTGTTCTAGGTCACAGGTACTAATTTGTGACATAATTGTCACCATTTTATTGTCATTCTATGCCAAAGATTTATAGTAAGAATAGATTTTTATAGACAGCCTATCCTAACCTTTTTTGAAGAGGAAGGTTTTGAGTCCCGATTTAACCCATTTTTATGGGAGTAGGAAAAACCTAGCACATAATGCTGAATCTAAACCCTAAACATAAACCGAATTTGTTTTGAAATAATCATAATACTTAGAGAATACTTTTCAAGATATTTTGAATGGTGGGAAAACACCTAGGTTTTTTTGGAGCTCTTACCCTGGTGCATAAATGTTGGTGTCGATATTACTGCAAATTACAATACACAATTACAGTAGGATACTGTTTGTCATTATATGCTTGAATTCGGAAGTATTGTCATACACATCAAAATCATTCATTTCCAAGAATATATAAGTACTACGAATCCTTTTCTTAACCAATTCTAATGTATTATATATTCACTTGTTTCAGGGATGTTTTGCTTACAAGAAAGGAAAGAAGAAAGTGGCAAATCCAGGTAGTTCATTAACTGAAACTGTCTTTATGTCACTCCATCATTGTGTTTACTTGACTTTAAAGCAATGTCAAAAATAAAACAACAAAGGAAATAAAATCATAATCTTACACTTTTTCTTTGTAAAATGTTTTCCCACTGACAAGTATGTAATGGTTTATAAAATGTAAAGGGTTAGTGATACCTTCCACTCTTCAGTTCATCAATCAGTTCAGTTCACCTGAAGGTCTATTTTGGTTTGTGTTTTGGCATGTTGAAAAAGCTTCCAGTATTTACTTCTCATGTCAAGTCTCTAGTTGGGGTTCCAGTCCCCAGCAACATCTATGTCTTGTAAGAGGTAGGCTCATATCTAAAGGAATTGGGTGAGCAGGCTTGCTGAGTAGTACTTTGTGAGATGGCACTTACAATATCAGTTACTGGTTTTTCTGACATAGACATGATTATTAGCAGAACATTAACATCAGGCATCACTGTGTTCATGGTATTTCACTTGACATGCTCTATAAAATGCAGGGTTCAGATAATTCCCAACATGGGCACAATGTGTTTTGTTCAATCTTGGTGTACTGGAAAACCGTACATTTGGAGTACTGAATGGAAGCTAATGAACTATCAGTAATCTTGTGTTTTGTTTCATATATGCACCACAACATTGCTACTCTTGTGTAATTTAAAAAAAAATACGTCTGTAAATGATTCTAAGACCGTACACCATTGCTGTGGTGCGTATCTGCCACGTTTTCTAAATTATTTCCACCTTGCATATTTTTATCCGTACATCAGTTGATACGGCCCTTATCTGAAGCCCTGAAATGCATTGTGTAAGTGCAATAATCTTGAAAACAACCTCATTTCACCTAATCTGATCAGTTGCTGATTGTACACTCTATTGTTCCAGCTGCATATTTCACCAAGAAGGATATAGGATGTGAGGCCCGACTAGAAGCATACCAGTCCCTGTGGGAGATAGTGGACACAGACATAAAGGTGTGCCTCGGATATAAGCTTCAAGTAGTATTCTGGGTAGAGTGTAGATTGGTGACCACCAGGAGTACAAAAATGTGAACTGTGATGCCTCTGTACCTCAAAACTAAACTGACACTCCCACCATCAACCATTATGGCTGTATAATGTGATGTTGATGATCCACATCTTGTTAATGATTCTGGTAATTGTGTTTTTCCTAACTCAAGACAGCTGGGACTGTCAATTGTAAAGTTTATCAAGTTTACAGGGAGTTTTATTGGATTCCATACTAAGCACTTTCAGCAGCTAAATTATTTAAATTATGTATTGTGAAAGAAGAAGGGAGATAAGCAATATAGCATAGTCAGGATAAGGAAAAATTTACAAATTGGATTCTTGAATCTGTTAATGTACTATTTCAGAGTTGTTTTAACAATGCTTTCAATACATTTTAGGCTACTCTTTGTTTGCTCTGTTAAAGTGAAATAAAATTCAAGTCATCTGTGCAAAGCTACAACATTAGTTATGAGGGTATTAACTTTTACTGGGAGTATTTGCTGCAGACTTGTTGCTCTGAAGCGGGCAGAATACATCCCTGCTCTATGTTAAAGTAATGGTGGGCAAGTTGTCTGATGTCTTTCATTCACAAGATACCCATCTCCTTGTATGTAAATATTTGTGAATAGTGCTTGTAATAGTTTGTGTTCTCTCTTCAAGATCATGCAGTCGGACCTAAATAGTCAGATCTTTGAGGAGCTTTTGGCCTTTGCAGCTTCAAGTCATAGTCCTCGCAGTAGTGATGAAGAGGAAGGGAGACATCTTTGCAAGGCTATTCAGGAGATTCCAACAGCAGCTCTTATCACAGGTAAGAAACATTCATGTACTTGTTGTCATACTGTTTGTTCATTATTCATAATGTCCACAGTTTCTAAAAGGCAGTAAAGGCTGTGACTAAATGATTCCCAAGGTCCACCCTTCATGTAGTTCATAGTCGATAGTAATATCACTATCAAAAAGGTTCAGTGATGCCTCCTTAGAATTTTATCCCCCACAACACATTTTATGGGGGTATTAAAATGGACTCTGTGCCGTCGTCTGTCTGTCCATCCATGCACATTTGTCTTTTCCGGAGCAGAATTCTAAAACCGTTCAATATTTTTTCACCAAACTTGGCACATGGATAGATCTGGCAGTGTACTGGTGCCTTTTGGTAGTTTTGGAATTCTGAATAAAATATTTTTGGCGTTTCCATGGCAACAAGTTTGACTAAAACTGAAATTGGTGGAAGTGCTCTTTTCCGGAGCAGAACTCTAAAACCGTTCAATGTTTCTTCACCAAACTTGGCACATACATAGATCTGGTGGTGTACTGGTGCCTTTTGGTCGTTTGGATTTCTGAATCAAATATTTTTGGCAGTTCCATGGCAACAAGTTTGACTTAGACTGAAATTGCTGATAGTGCTCCTTTCTGGAGCAGAACTTTAAAAACCTTTCAATACTCTCCTTCCACTTTTCTATATACACACCTAAATATTTGACATAATCATAACTTGTAGACATTATCATGAAGAGTATTTTGCCATTGCGGGGGATATTGATGACTTTGTCTTCTTGTTTAGATTGGATATTTTCACACAAAATCAACATTGTGCTAGTTTCCATGATGATACTGTGGATGAGTGTGGATGGTGATGATGAGTGTGGACAGTGATTATGTGTGTGGATGGTGATCAGGGTATGGATTGTGAATGTGGACTGTAATTTGTTCCTTGCAGGTGTGAACACTCCAGACCATGCAGTTATGTTCTCTAACCTTGTGCAGCTGCTGAAGGAAAGAGTTAGCTCCCTTGTTGCAACTCTCCGCTCAAAGGACTGTCCGAACCTGAAGACAACCCTCTCCAAGATGATCTCCCAGCTGACATCAAACCCAGACTTGGTATGATTACTGTTTCGCTTGTAGCACTACATGGTCATATTGAACTGTATCTCAGATTTCTCTTTCAGTTATTACTCTCAGCCACTAGTTATGTCTAGGTGTGAGGGCAACATCTGAGAATGTTATTCTTTGCACAGGATTCTCTTTGTGTGTGTGTGTGTCAGGCAAACCTGTGTTCATATTTGGTTATATCCACAGATGTAACTTTTGTAAAGTATCACAACCCTTAATTAGACTTACAATATCAGTCTATGACTCCAGGCCTAGGTTTTTGAAGCTCTCTTAGCGCTAAGATAGCCGTAAGTGCCATACATTAACATTAACTTGCAACTATCTTAGCGTTAAGAGAGCTTTGAAAATCTAGGCCCTAGATATCAGTCTTGAGTTTTGTAAAATTTCTTTCAGTCTAGTAAGCTATGCTAAGAGAAGGCAATACTTAAACACATTAATAAAATATTCATAAAATAATCTCAAGTGGAATGTTCTGGCTAATGGACTGAAATATTTGACACAGATGCTATGTTATTGAGTTTTTATTGCCATATTGTTGAGTGACACTTTGTGTATTCAGATGTTAGATGATGACGATGATGATGTCGCTCCAAAACGGAAGCAGGCAGCGTGTACAGTGTCCACACTGTGCCAGTGGTATAACAGCAAGTTCAGAGTGAGTTGGCAATAGTCAAACTCTGTATGCTATTTTAGCAAACAGTTTAAATAATGCCCCCATTATGTTTGTATCCATATCAATGCATGGACTGTTTATACAGCACTGTTACAAGTAGATTATATATACTCATGATTGATAACACTGTTTCTACCAGCCTGTCACATAATGAGACAATCTGCACAATCGTAGATCAGTGCAAACTAGCAATGGTATTGCTGGAACCAGTACTGAAATCCTGAGGGGATAGTATCATTACTGTTGTATCAAACTTTGAGAGAAACCAGAAGTTTTTGTTGATGCTATCATGTTGGTCAGTGTTTACCAGTGATGTTATTCAGAGGGGAAAAGATGATGCTACAAGATGAAGTCAGCTAATGGCTCATTCCTTGAAAACCAACCCAGATGTTAACACATGATTTTAGGAACTGAAGTGTGGTGTGCCTTGGCAACAGATTTTAACATGCTATGGTGCAGTATATAGGTGATGTAATTCTGGTGATTGCACAAACACCACATGTCTGAAATGCACAAGCTGTGATCATGCCGTGTGTATGTATGTGGACATTTGTGACTGTTTTATCTTCCAGTCTGCAAGTTCTTCTCCAAAGAAGCGCCGTTCTGGTGGTGGAGCTGTAGAAACAACCATGTCTCAGCCCCCTCTGGTGGTTGTCCTGGAGGATATGGAGAGTTTCTTGCCCCATGTTCTTCAAGATGTCATCAGTATCTGCAGGTAAGCATGCTCACATCATTCCCCACCCTCTGCAGCAATCTCCAACTCATCACCAGATCATGACTCCTGTTATTTTAAAAATTATTCCATCATGATAAATACCCCGAACCAGTTCCAAATGAACACTTCTATTAGTCATCTACAGCTTTCAGATTACTACTTTAGCTCAGCAGTGCTCTTGAGTGCACTTTGACTTAATTTAGTATTTGTATTGTTTAAAATATACAAGTGGCTGAAACCAAGATCATTTTATCTGTCAGTTCATTTTAAGCATGCTCTTCATGAATGCATTTTAGTTTATATTAAAAAGATAATAATGAAGTCTTGAAAGATGTATAAACTTCAGTTGCTGTTTTATCAGTCATTGTCGCAGGATAAAAGCGTTACATATATGAACAAGGCTCCATCTATGATACGGATGTCTTCCTGATAACACAAACCAGTATAACACATTACTACATCATCCTTTGTTTCAGCAACTACATTCATGAGCTGCCCCTGGTCTTGGTGTTTGGAATTGCCACGTCTGTGACAGCTGTCCACCGCCTGCTCCCCAACTCGGTCTCCTCGCTACTGTGCATGGAGAAGTTCCAGGCCCCGCCCTCCTCTGAGTACCTCACCCAGGTCATCAACAAGGTCAGTGTGTCCTGGCATCTCACACTACACTTCAATAATACTTCAAGGGGGATCAGATTTTTCAGTCTGAACCAATGATGGGTCAGTATCACAGCCTTGTGTTACAGTGCACCAAAGGCCTAGGTTTGATCCCCTCATGGCGACAAAATGTGAAGTCCACTTCTGAGTCTTCTGTTTTCGTATAGCTGGAATATTGCTAAAACAGTGTGAATCAATACTCAATCACCCCTAATGTGGTAACCCCACATTGGTACAATGTGTGAAGCCCATTTCTGGTGTTCCCACCGTGATGTTACTGGAATATTGCTAATAGCGGTGTAAAACCATACTCACTCACTCACCTAATGTGGTAAAGTCTTCATTCAACTTGTAGTTATGTGTCATGATATTCCCTTTCAGGTGTTGATGACAGCAACGTTTCCCTTCAAGCTTGGGCCCAAAGTTTTCCAGCTGCTCCTTGATATCTTCCTGTACCATGATTTCTCCGTCCTCAACTTTATCAAGGGGCTCCAAGTATGTGTGTAATGATAGGACTTAAACCCTGAAGCTTGATGGGAGGTGATATGACATTACATGGCGTGGTGACATTGACATGACATGATGTGAATACATAACACATGACATGACATTTGTTCATTTTTCCAGTTCTGTATGTTGGAGCATTTCTACAACCAGCCTCTGAGTCACTTGTGCTGCCATCTGGTGGACATAGACAGCACTGTGTCCAGTCTCAGCCACAAGGAACTTGACCGACTCAGACAGGTTCCGTCCTTCTCCAGGTGTGTACAGATGGTTCAAGGTCTAGTCCTCTTTCCTGTCTGTCATGACACAGATGGACTCGCGTCTAAAGGGACATTATACAAACACAGGTTCTGTCAGTACCTGTGTTACCCTTTGTGAAGATCTATGTTAGAATTATTCTTGATTAACCTGTGCCTGTTATAAGTGGTGACTACACAGATTGGGTGTTTAGGCTTAGTGGCTTGTTGATGCATGTTGTTGTATCCCAGTGTAGATCATGTCAATCATTGGATATCTGGTCCAGAGTCGCTTTTTACAGATCTTCATAACATAGCTGAAGTTCCAACATTTGGAGACCGCCTCCGTGGTCTAGTGGTTAGAGCGTCCGCCCAGAGAGCGGAAGATCGCGGGTTCGATCCCCGACCGCCTCATACCAAAAGACGTTAAAATAGCTTCAGTCTGGGCTAGTACAAGCATCGCACATACACATACACACACATGCACGTCATCATGTCGTCACATGAACCCAATTTCACCTCACCTCCAACATTTGGTGTCCCCTGAGGTTGTTCCTAACACTGAAACCACACTCCCTAGCTCATCGTAACATATATTACAGTGGTCCCGGAGATGTGATTGACTTTTATGTGTATTGCAGGTACATGGAGGAGAACTGTTCTTCTGAAGATCAGTCCAAACTCCGGGAGGATAACAAGTTACTGAAGGTAACAAAGTGTGATCCCCCTGGATGGGTGTGAGATATTAGTGTATGATGTATAGCTTTATATAGTTAGACATTTTGCAACATTATGAACATTTGATGTTGTGTCTGTACTGTTCATCATCAGAGAAACTGGATTGAATCAACAGCCTTTCAGTGTTTGTTGATACATTTTGCTGGATTGTAAGTTTTGTTGTCAGCTATGTACTTGTTGATATGTAGTGTCGTCAGCTATGTACTTGTTGATATGTAGTCGTCAGCTATGTACTTGTTGATATGTAGTGTCGTCAGCTATGTACTTGTTGATATGTAGAGTCGTCAGCTATGTGCTTGTTGAGAGTCTTGTTCTGTTGCTAGATATTGTTTTGTTGAGATGTGTTGTGATGTCATGGATCTATTTGTTGAAATATGGTGGTATGTTGTCAAGGATCTACTGGTTGACATGTAGTGTTTTGTTGTCAAGGATCTACTTGTTGACATGTATTGTTATGTTATCAAGGATCTACTTGTCGACAGGTAGTGTTGCATTGTCAAGGATCTACTTGTTGACATGTAGTTTTATGTTGTTAAGGATCTACTTGTCGACATGTAGTGTTTTGTTGTCAAGGCTCAACTTGTTGACATGTATTGTTATGTTGTCAAGGATCTACATGTTGACATGTAGTGTTTTGTTGTCAAGGATCTACATGTTGACATGTAGTGTTGTGTTGTCAAGGATCTGCTTGTTGACATGTATTGTTATGTTTTCAAGGATCTACTTGTTGACATGTAGTGTTTTGTTGTCAAGGATCAACTTGTTGACATGTATTGTTATGTTGTCAAGGAGATACATTTTGACATATAATGTTGTGTTGTCAAGGATCTACATGTTGACATGTATTATGTTGTCAAGGATCTACTTGTTGACATGTATTATTATGTTTTCAAGGATCTACTTGTTGACATGTAGTGTTATGTTGTCAAGGATCTACTTGTTGACATGTTTTGTTGTGTTGTCAAGGATCTAATTGTTGACATGTAGTGTTATGTTGTCAAGGATCTACTTGTTGACATGTAGTGTTATGTTGTCAAGGATCTACTTGGTGACATGTTTTGTTGTGTTGTCAAAGATCTACTTGTTGACATGTAGTGTTATGTTGTCAGGAGCATGACATGTATTATGTTGTCAATGATCTACTTGTTGACATGTACTATTATGTTGTCAAGGATCTACTTGTTGACATGTAGTGTTGTGTTGTGAAGGATCTACTTGTTGACATGTAGTGTTATGTTGTCAGGAGCATGACATGTATTATGTTGTCAAGGATCTACTTGTTGACATGTATTATTATGTTGTCAAGGATCTACTTGTCCACATGTATTATGTTGTCAATGATCTACTTGTCTACATATAGGATTGTGTTGTCAAGGATCTACTTGTTGACATGTAGTGTTATGTTGTCAGGAGCATGACATGTATTATGTTGTCAAGGATCTACTTGTTGACATGTTGTGTTATGTTGTCAAGGATCTGCTTGTCCACATGTATTATGTTGTCAAGGATCTACTTGTCTACATATAGGATTGTGTTGTCAAGGATCTACTTGTTGACATGTTTTGTTGTGTTGTCAAGCATCTACTTGTTGACATGTAGTGTTATGTTGTCAAGGATCTGCTTGTCCACATGTATTATATTGGCAAGGATCTACTTGTTGACATGTTTTGTTGTGTTGTCAAGCATCTACTTATTGACATGTAGTGTTATGTTGTCAGGAGCGAGTGAAGGATCTACTTATTGGTCTCCATGACTACCACAGTACCTTCTTCCCCATCCTACAGTGCCTGAATGTATGGGGGTCTGTTCTTCCTAGATACCCTCTTGGCAAACAGGTATGTGCTTCTCACCTTCTTGTGCTACATCCTGTAGTTCAAATACTTGTTATTATTTCTGACCTCAGACAAGCCAGAGTTCCATGATGGGTTCCATTTGCAGATGTGCCCATATTTTGTTTCTTAGTATGTCATGCCCACGCCCTTATGTTTTAGACATTGTTTCTTCTTTCATGTTGCAGCTGCGGGAGCTGTACGCCACCAGTCTCGAGTCAGATGTGTGTGACAGTGAGGCTTACAAGGAGGCCATGACTCTCTTCAGGTATCTTTACTCACTCACCTACTCACTCACTCATGCAATCACTCATGCTTTCAGTCACACATATTTACTCACATACTCTCTCCTTATTAGACCCGTGAAGATCCGGGGTAGAATAGGTCCTCAGCAACCCATGCTTGCCACAAAAGGCGACTATGCTTGTCGTAAGAAGCAACTAACGGGATCGGGTGGTCAGGCTCGCTGACTTGGTTGACAAATGTCATCAGTTCCCAATTGCGCAGATCCATGCTAATGCTGTTGATCACTGGATTGTCTGGCCCAGACTCGATTATTTACAGACTGCCGCCATATAGCTGGAATATTGCTGAGTGTGGCGTAAAACTATACTCACTCACTCACTCACTCACTCACTCACTCACTCACTCACTCACTCACTCACTCACTCACTCACTCACTCACTCACTCACTCACTCACTCACTCACTCACTCACTCACTCTCCTTATTAACCCCCTTCCATATTTTGCTAAGGATTTGTCCCTCTCCCATGTAATGTATTATTGCCTCCTCCCTCTCTGGTTAAAACTCCACTGAATGAGCATGTCCTCCTGACCTCCTGTCGACAATGATCAGGTCATTGTTTCGGATATATTATTTGTGACGTCATGCTTGCCAGGATGTTGTCGAAGGATGAGTTGTCGAGTCTGGTGACGTCGTGTGTGGAGCGAACCATGTCGCTGGACCTCCCTCCAGGGTTGGAGCAGCTGCCAGACCAGCTCCATGAACTCCTGATTGTGCTGGAGAAGGAAGAAGGTGGGTGTGTTCGGTGGAAGTAAGATGCAGCTTAGCTATAACGTCAATCATGTCTAACTTACAAATGTTAGGCCCTAGTTTTCCCAGACTTCCTAACTGTAGTATCTGTAGGTTGATATCCAGAGGAGTGTGTTTGTTGTGGCCACTTATTGACAGTGCTTCTATTATACATCAGAGGAAGTCCCAGAGACAGAGCCGGCTGAGAAAGATGAAGTGCGCTTCACAAAAACAGATCTGCACACTCTACGCAAGGTAGGACATGACTAGATCATAGTGATACTACGCAAGGTAGGACATGACTAGATCATAGTGATACTATATTTCACATAACACTGGTCAGATATAAGCTAAAGTACTGTCGGAAATGCTAGAAAAATGCTTTTTAGCCTTAATATCTTTAGAAAGGTGATAAATGTATTATGTTGTCAATATATCAACTCACCTATAGTCTACCTAATTTTTATTTCAATTGATTTAGCATTCCCATGCATTTAAAGGGCAGTTTACAGGAGAGAATTTGGTACCAAAACAACAACTTAAGATTTTTTCACAGTTCAACAACAGAAATCTGAAATAGTCTTTACATTTATGCTGATAATACAGTTGGCGTAAAAATATAAATTAACGGGTTTTTTAAACTAATAAGTGTTGAATGTTTGTGTTACTTTACTTAATTATCGTTTCTTTATTGAAGAAATATTAATATAAATGTTAAAGTCTTGATAAATATGTTTCCGTCATGCATGCACATCTTTATCACAAGCGTCCACTATAGCCAACTATTTGCAGGCGATTGTTGCAAAGGTTTATAAGTTGTTTGTGCTTGAAAAAAGACAGAGGTAAACCTTTCATTAGTATAGAAATGGTTTAATACAGAACTTGTAAGAGGTGTTGGTATGTCTCACCAACAAGTTTACAATATTAAAAACAAATCAGACCCGAGACAGGGACCGTCTCAAAAGCAAAACAAGGACTGATAAAATCATCCTTGACAACTTTGACAAGGAGTACTTAGGCGGTCGGTCTGCAAACTTTAGGAGAAGAATAATATATATATTCTAAAGAAGCTACATCAGTGACTTCGTTAAATCTTTGGCCAGTGTTCACAACTAGATTAAACTGACCCGAATTACATCCATATTTTTGCAATGAAATATACTGTTGACATGCCAAACATTTATTAAAGCGTTGCACATTTCTACAATCAGTCGATAAGATAACACCTTAGCGATAGGATTCTTTCCAATGTACAGTAATTAGGTATGTTTATTTCACAACAAATACACATACACAAATGATCCCTTCCATAACCAATCATTATACTATCGTCGCATATTCAACATTTTGAAGAAAACATCTATTGAGATGACCCCTCGCCCGAGCGTGTGCTCAGGTGTCAATTTCACCTGTCGATACCGTGCATGCTGATGACGTAACACAGGCAGTTAATGTTTGTATCAAATAACGTCCCACTACCCCTTTTTTTTCTAAGTTTTTGATAGTTTCATCAGTAAAAACGCATTTTAGGGCATGTCTCAAAATTTATTCCCTCGGTCTACATTAGGTAGATGTTTCTTAAAGTGATATATAGTTGTTATTAGTAACTGTAATACCTCTGAATTTTACATATAAGTCAAAAAGCATTTTTCTAGCATTTCCGACAGTCCTTTAGTTCCATCTGTGAGTGGTTTGGTTAAACACAACTTGGCCAACATTCCGTTTATATCTCGGCAACTGATGGAAACTTGAATTGATACCAGTCTCAAATGTTTACTACTTTGGTGAAACCCAGGAGTACATCTCCAATCAAAGGAAGTGCGAAGTTTTTAGACAGTTTTTGTTTCCAGAGAGAAATTTCTAAGACCACGTAAAACATACTGAGTTAGTGATTTTACTTTTGGTCAATATTTTATAACAATATTTAATTTAAGACTTAATTTAACCATCTCTATGGCAAAGGGATTAAATTATCCCATATATGATGACATTGTGCCAGCGATTCAGGTCCCATGTAATCAACCTGAGGTTCATCCTGTCAGTCACCAGTTCGCCTGGTGCAGTCTGAATTATTTACACCTGATACCTCTTGATTGATTCTTTGTTTACATTCAGACTTTAAAGGAAATGGGGAAGAAAAGAAGATTTTCACCGTTTGAACAACAGAGAGAAACAGTTATTGACTTCTTTGATTCACTATTTAGGTGAGATTGATGGTATGTTCACAGCCTTGTACTGTAGGGATATTTACAGACCGCCACCATAGAGCTGGAATATTGCTGAGTGCGGCGTAAAACTAAACTCACTCACTCACTCACTCACTGTAGGGACATAACAGTTCGACAGGCAGCTGACAACTTGCTGCAGCAGACATAGAAAACCGAACATGAGATGTCATAGTGGGACATCAACATCAAATATTGAAAGCTTAAATGCTGCATGTTGGTGTGATGAGGACAAAGAAGTATGGGAGATGAGTAAATCTCTCATGAATGTTATAAGTATATTTACCCTGTTATCATTCCACGTTGAAATCTTCATTAACCTGTACTGGTAATGAGAGGTGATCCTACATATAGTAAGAGGCTGTTTCATATGTCCACTTCATTGCCAGGATTTGCTCAACGAACTGGTGCTAATGTTCCCCTTGTAGGAAGTACTTGAAGTGTCCAAGCAGTCAGCCCCTACATGAGTTGGTCTACTACAGTTCGGTGTCTGGTGTCCGGCGCCACATCAATGCCTCCCCACGCCTCGCTATACAGAAGGCGCTCAGTAACCGAGCCAAGTACCTACAGGTGAGTAGAAGCTGTAACGTCCATAGCTCTGTAACCCAGCCAAGTACCTCCAGGTGAGTACGAGCTGTAACATCCATAGCTCTGTAACCCAGCCAAGTACCTCCAGGTGAGTACGAGCTGTAACATCCATAGCTCTGTAACCCAGCCAAGTACCTCCAGGTGAGTACGAGCTGTAACATCCATAGCTCTGTTAGGAAGTATTTTAGTCATTTGATCCACATCTCACATGACACAGACACTGATGTTTTCTGATTAGTGCCTTCTGGTTGCAGTGTGAGTGCTGTGAAGGAGAGCATGGAGCGATCACATCGTCAATGCCTGATCTCTGCATTGTGTATAAGCTGCATCTGGAGTGTCCTCAACTCATCAATCTGTATGACTGGCTTCAGGTGAGTATCAACTCGATGATCACTATTGTTGCAGTGTTGCTGTAAGAGACTAACCATTTGATATTAAGATAATACTGGAACAATGTCATTTGTCCACATGTTTTGCAACAATAAAAGGTTTTTCTTTCAGCAAAACAGGTTGTACACAGGTCATCACTGGCTGAGAAAATATTCTCTACCCCAACCTCCACCCTTAATATTCAGTGGTCAGTCTTTTGTGACCGTTGTCAGCCTGCTTTGTTTATAGGCGTAACATCATCTCTGTGTATAGAAAATGACATCATCAACCATTTGTAAAATTCTGATTTTGGAGGGGCGGCGGGATAGCCTAGTGGTTAAAGCGTTGGCTCGTCACACCGAAGACCCGGGTTCGATTCCCCACATGGGCACAATGTGTGAAGCCCATTTCTGGTGTCCCCCGCCGTGATATTGCTGGAATATTGCTAAAAGCGGCGTAAAACTAAACTCAGTCAGTCAGCAGTCTGATTTTGGCTCATAATGAGCAACAAGGAACAGCAGGAGTCAGTTAACTAATCTGTTTGAATCTTAAGTTATTAAGGGTGAACTTTCCCTGTGTATGTTCATTTTGGTATATGTATGTTGTCCCCCAGGCTTTCATTACCGTGGTAACAGAGGATGAACAGAAGAGGACAAAGGATGAGGACAGTTTATTGCAGTATCCTTTACTGAGTTGCAGAAACGTATTATGGCGGACATGTTTAATGTTTTTTGAAGTTGTTGAGAATGTTGTTATAGGTTGGCAGCAGATTTGAAGTTTCTGGTCTGGAACTAATTAGACCAGTATTTGTCTCATCTCCTTGGTTTCAGCATCAATGGTGCCAGTCAGAATTGTCAATGTCAGAAATATTGTTTATTTTCTTCATCTGAGTTCAGGGGTGGTGGGGTAGCCTAGTGGTTAAAGCGTTCGCTTGTCACACTGAAGACCTGGGTTCCATTTCCCACATGGGTACATGTGTGAAGCCCATTTCTGGTGTCGCCTGCCATGATAGTGCTAGAATAGTGCTAAAAGCAGTGTAAAACTAAACTCACTCACTCTCTCATCTGAGTTTAGCTGGTTTGATATTTTGTAGGAGTATGTGGTATGACTGGAATGCATGCATTGTTACATGTGGTTTGATTCTTTAACTTATGCCAGAGCACGATTCATCCGTTCAGTCTCAGAACTGCAATTCCTGGGCTTCATCAAACCAACAAAGAGAAAGACAGATCATGTGGCCAGACTGACCTGGGGAGGTTGCTGATACAGTGTGTAACATGTGATACTGTGTGTAACATGTGATACTGTGTGTAACATGTGATAACAGTGTGTAACATGTGATACTGTGTGTAACATGTGATACAGTGTGTAACATGATACAGTGTGTAACATGTGATACTGTGTGTAACATGTGATACTGTGTGTAACATGTGATACAGTGTGTAACATGTGAGTGTGTAACATGTGATACTGTGTGTAACATGTGATACTGTGTGTAACATGTGATACAGTGTGTAACATGTGATACTGTGTGTAACATGTGATACTGTGTGTAACATGTGATGTGTGCATACATATGTGATACTGTGTGTAACATGTGATACTGTGTGTAACATGTGATAGTGTGTAACATGTGATACAGTGCAACATGTGATACAGTGTGTAACATGTGATACTGTGTGTAACATGTGATACAGTGTGTAACATGTGATACAGTGTGTAACATGTGATACAGTGTGTAACATGTGATACTGTGTGTAACATGTGATACTGTGTGTAACATGTGATACAGTGTGTAACATGTGATATAGTGTGTAACATGTGATACAGTGTGTAACATGTGATACAGTGTGTAACATGTGATACAGTGTGTAACATGTGATACTGTGTGTAACATGTGATACAGTGTGTAACATGTGATACAGTGTGTAACATGTGATACTGTGTGTAACATGTGATACAGTGTGTAACATGTGATACAGTGTGTGTAACATGTGATACAGTGTGTAACATGTGAGTGTGCAACATGTAACATGTGATACTGTGTAACATGTGATACTGTGTGTAACATGTGATACTGTGTGTAACATGTGTGATATGTGATACTGTGTAACATGTGATACAGTGTGTAACATGTGATACAGTGTGTAACATGTGATACTGTGTGTAACATGTGATACTGTGTGTAACATGTGATACTGTGTGTAACATGTGATACAGTGTGTAACATGTGATACTGTGTGTAACATGTGATACAGTGTGTAACATGTGATACAGTGTGTAACATGTGATACACTGTGTGTAACATGTGATACAGTGTGTAACATGTGATGAGTGTAACATGTGATACTGTGTGTAACATGTGATACTGTGTGTAACATGTGATACTGTGTGTAACATGTGATACAGTGTGTAACATGTGATACAGTGTGTAACATGTGATACTGTGTGCAACATGTGATACTGTGTGTAACATGTGATACAGTGTGCAACATGTGATACTGTGTGCAACATGTGATACTGTGTGCAACATGTGATACTGTGTGTAACATGTGATACAGTGTGTAACATGTGATACTGTGTGCAACATGTGATACTGTGTGTAACATGTGATACTGTGTGTAACATGTGATACAGTGTGAAACACTTGATACAATGTGTAAGAGTTGATACCCCTTCAGATGGTGTGTAAGTGTTGATACCTGTTCATACGGTGTGTAAGAGTCAATCCCTGTTGATACATGTATATAAGTGTTGAATCGTTTGATAAAATGTGTAAGATTCACTACATGTTCATACATTGTGTAAGAGTCAATACTTTTGATACACTTGATACCTGTTGATACAGTATTTAAGAGTCAATACAGCATGTGCTTGTTTATACAACCTGGAATAGTTGACACTCGTTTGAACAATCAATACAATGTGAAACAACTGATAATATGTAGCTTTTGATACAATGTCAGCAGTTGATACAAGACTGTTAAAACAAGCTATGCAAAGCTGTTGATACAAGTTATATGAAATTGATACAAAGCATCTTAGGTGTCAATACAGGTGACAAAAGCAGTTGATACAATCAAGTATAGAGTTGTTGCAAGCATCGTTAAAACAGTTATTACCAGGTATAAGAAGCTTTGATACAGGTTTTGTAAAAGCAGTTAATACAAACTACACAAAGCACTTGATACAAGGGAGTACAAGACATTGATACAAGGTATACAACAGTATAAATACAAGATATATTAAGCAGTTGATGCTTGCAATGCCAAGAAGATGACACTAGTTTACAAATAAGTTGATATAAAGGAAAATCAAGTTCTATGGATAGTCAACTTCTTTATTGCAATAAAGAAGTTGACTATCCATAGAACTTGGTTTTCCTTCATCTTTGCAACTTCTAAAATGCCTCTCAAAGAGTTGATATAAGTAACGGAAGCAATTACAAGCAATTAAAGGTGGTTGATGCAAGTGCTAAAGCAGTGAACAGATATGTGTAGAATTATATGAATCACCCACACTTGTTAAATATTGTAGTAGAGTGAGTACAGCAGCCTGACATGTTTGTCTGGTAACATGAGTAACAAAGTGATTGAAGTGTTGGCTGGCCAACAAAAGGGAAATAACTCTGTCGGGCCTGGTAAAACGGACACCTGTTGACTTTCTTCCTGTCGTAAACCTATCATCTGACTGATGTACCTGCAATAAATGTTAATTATACACTGTTTCGTTTTTGTTGAAGTGTGTGTTGATTTACTGCTTACCTTTTCCTTATCAAATCGTGGATCTATTTAGGGTTGTAAGGGCGATGCATACCTATAATGTGGAGCCAACATGGGAAATAATGTATGTAGATTATATAGCTCTCAATCTCTACATATGGATGCTCCATCTCAGAATTTCATAGATAGACCTCACAATGTCGAAATCTGACTCAGACCATCTCATGATCTTAAGGGCTCAAAGATGGCCCATTTCAAAAGCAGTGACTGTATCCCCAAGGGGGGTTAAAGTACTGTAAAATGATTGGTCTCCTGAGAGGGTGCGTAAGTCTCAAAACATTCAAAGTAAATTTAAACTCTCCACTTTTTTAATCGTAGAATATGTGTATTTTTAATGTATGGCTAGATGTGTGTAAATAGCTAACAGCTGAAGGGATGATGTAAATCCAGCTAGGGTCCATGCAGGAAGCAAATGTACTGTAAGTCCCCATGGTCCGTAGTATGGTGATCTACCCTCAGTTGTTGGCAATCCATAGCCTATTTTTATATTGTATTGTCTTGTATAGTTAAAATGTTTTAGATTTAGTTACTAGTTTTAAATTTCTAACTGTGATAATCTAGTTGTTTTACTCTTCAGTCGACAGGTTTTTATAATTTACCTTTTATTCATATTAATGTATAACTTGATTTAGTCACGATATGGCTGAAATATTGCCAAAGTGACATTAAATTTTAACTCACTCACTCACTCATTTCAAAAGCTCTACTATTCATATAAGGTCCATCTCCAAATCTCCACATGTGACTCACGGACCATTTAGGTCTCAACCTCTGATAGAAGGATTTTACGTCTGATAGATGGACTATTTCACACTTTCTACAGCACACACTCCCCGATAGGTGGTCTATTTCAGAATATCTACACTTGACACAGGATCCAACAAACGATCTCTGCATCCGATACATGGACAATATCCAAATCTCCACATCTGACAGATGATCATTTCACAATCTCTTCATCTGTCGGAGGGACAAGCTCATAATCTCTACATAAGGCAGATGGACTATCACTAAATCTCGACAGCTGCCAGAGGGACCATCTCACAAGCTCTACATCTGAGTACAGGGATCATCTTCCAATCCAAACATCTGACACACGAACCACCTTCCATTATATACACAAGGAACTTTATTAAGCACCCCCTGTATTTTTGCAATGATAGGCTTTTAACACGTATATGAAACCTCTCGTGGTGACCACCATGGAAAAACATGAGTTTTTTCTGACCCCTCTGATCCTTTGACTCATAAAAAACCCAAAATGACTGGAATCCATGTTGATTTTATGATGATATTTGCTCAGTTTGAAAAAATACCCACTGATGTTCATACAAAACTATGTCTGTACAAGTATGGCCCTGGTTTGTTAATGTTGAATTTACTGGTGAATGTGAACATTCAAAATGTCATTTTGGTGTCTTACATGATTCAAGGTCAATACCGAGTGTAGCCTATATATGACTGTATGACTGCCATCACTCACCTCCGCGTACCCCCTGTCAGCCTCCTGGCCCTCTGAAGGGCCAGTCTACGCCATTCCACGTGTAAAGCATCTTCCAAATGGGCCTGGTGCTGTACAGGGGCATCCCAAGGGGCGGTGGGGTAGCCTAATGGTTAAAGCGTTGGCTCGTCACGCCAAAGACCCTGGTTCGAATCCCCACATGGGCACAATGTGTGAAGCCCATTTCTGGTGTCCCCTGCCCTGATGTTGCTGGAATATTGCTAAAAGCAGCGTAAAACCAAAACTCAGTCAGTCAGTCAGTGCAGGGGGATACCTTTGTTGCACACGACGACCAGTCGTGTCCCAGATATGCTCCAAAGGGTTAAGATCGGGGCTCATTCTATCGTGAGATATTTCGGGGGTGGGGGTGCTTAACTAAGTTCTTTGTGTATAATTGTTTCGACATACATACCTCCACACTATCTCCAATGACATTCGTTTTGAGTGGGAGATTATGTTTGATTTGCTTTGTGTTGCCAGGTGCCTTGGTTCAATGATAAGGTCATGTCCGATGAGTCAAACTCCGATGAGTCCAAGATAACGGACAGATAACAATGATGTGATTATGACAGATTGTAAAATATCACTTGTCCTCACAGCATCACCATACCCGCATGCTGTCATCATAATTGGGTTTGTGCTGAATGTGCAGTAACATGTGCATCATATTTTGTTGTTTTGTCCTTTGAAATATTGTTTTATTTAATTTTAGACAGATGAAAAAAACTTAACGCCTTTGACACAAAACTGTTTGCATGGCAGATGTGAAATATGTTCCCCAAATCGTTTCTATTTTTTATTTGATTAATATCGTTTCCGCCCACATCTGTACGTAGTTTTGCTAAATTTGATGCTCAGTAAGTGTATGGTGTGTGTGCGTGTAATACGATCAAGTTTGGCCTCATCTAAATCTCGGCTTACTGTAACCTTGACAGCGCTTCTGGAACCAACAGACCTGTTTTGCTGAGGCAGAAAGTTTCCCAGCATTGATGTATGTACAACATGCTTCTCGAGCTCAGACCTCACGTTTCCAACGTCTGGAAATCTTACTGT